GAACACTTTTTTGTATTAAGCTTGCTCTGTTATTGGCTTTTAATTTTCTCAAAGGTTGCAAACAAACGTACAAAAAAATAAGCAAATTTTCTTAAATACTGAGACAAAATTCTAGAATATTTTATGAACGTGTTCAACGCTGGCAGATCTTATTATGATTAGAGGGACACTTGTTTATCTTTATCGCCGTAATATATCATCAACTTTTAAAGATGTTTTAGTTGTTTCCATGAACATTAAAATGTCTTAGTACAGAACTTCGCTATTTGTGACACATATACATAAAAGGTTTGTCATGTTAAAAAAACTTTTATAGCTTACAAATATTTAAGACCTCCAACGAAAACTGATATGAAAGATTAAAGCGTAATCATATGGATCTTGAGTTTGCAAGGAAAAACTTATGAACTTAAAATATACTTATAAAAGAAATTGAATAGTATCATAAAACAGCATATTGCAGTTTAGTACCTCTGCCTACAATTATATTTAGCATTTTAAAACGTTGACTCGTATGTTTTAAAGAAGCTCAAAATGCGACTTTCAATAGGATACCCCCCCCCCGCCCGTGTAATATAACATTCCGTAGAAACGCCTCAGTGATATGTTTCAAGTACTAATGATGGTCAAAATTAAATAGAAGAAAGATCAATAATAAAAAATAGGGAGGCCAATATGTAGGACAATATCCCACTAGGACAAAACCTACTTAAACAATAGCACACTAGGACAAAAGATCACTGAGACAATAGCCCACTAGGACAGTATCTCAATTTATATGCACGATTGTTAAATATCACAATAGTAAAATTCAAATTACTCATTCATTATCGTATTTTCATTTAACAATGACACGCAAGTTGCAAGTACCGGAATAAATATGATATCTTGAATACTGGTGTTGTGGGGAGGGTTGTTGCTAATGTTGTTATAACTTGTAGCCAATTGAGTACCGCTCAAGCCGGTGCTAGGAGCATAAGGATTGTTGAGCCTTTCATTATCCCTCAAGTACAGACTCAATTAAACCGAATCTGCGCCGACATGTTACGTTTGTATGTTCTTAACGCTATGTTAACGCTTACGTTGCTTCTATATTTCTTTCTCAGAGGAAATCCGAAAATAAAATATTCATTGCAAAATGTGTTTAAACATAAACCGGTTTCTGACAGTTAAAACATTGAGCCTACAACCTCACATAACAAAACAAGAATATTACTTAGTGTGTATACAGCTATATCTGCTGCAAAAATTGATCGTTGAACTTTTAAAATGAATACTAACAAAATACCAGTATGTAACCATTTTGAATGACATATGTTTGTATGATTCCTTAAGATTGAAAAGCGCATGTACGAAATCATTGTGGCATTTTAAGCTGTGCTTACAGCAGCATAATGTTCTGTTCCGTAATATTTTATTCTGTTTACATAACCATTATCATATGTGTCGAATAACAGTGGCATTTTATGGTACAACTCTTTCGAGAATCGACCATAGGATAAATGAAAACAACACGATTTTATTTTCGAAAAATCTTAAGATAAAGCTTGATACCATTTAAGTATACACTCGAACAGTACACACATAATTCATCACGTTGTGTTTCGGAAATTTGTAAAGCACTCGCTTTCAATATTTGTTCAACAGTTTAATCTCTGACATTTATATCAACCATCACGCGATTTACTCAAATATACACAATAATGCTACTTCTATATAACTATTTACATTTGTAATACTCAGGGTTTTAAGAATAAAATCTTACTTCATAACAACAGTAAATTTGGAAGACATATAGATATGGAAATTAGTAAAACGTGTACTCCTAGTATTGCTTTTGTGATAATATGTTGACAATGACTATATGAAATTTGCGCATCATAATGGGCATTGCAATTGTTGCACTTAAGGTATAGGAACCTTATAATTCAGTAATATTACAATCATAAAGTACAAGTCTTTACCTACAACATTTTAACAAAAAGACATATTTTAACGCCGAATCCACATTAACTGTAATATGATGTATCAACAACACAGCAAAATGTCTTGGTATGTGGTGTATCAATCGACTGTCAGAAAAGACGAAAGATCATTTAATTTTCATTTACTGTTTCAGACAAAATAATGACGTAGGAACTATCCCTTTTCAAACCCATGATATCAACCCCATTGAACATGTTAAGAAAATTGTTGGCTGTCGATTACGTCGGATACCATTTTGCTGAACAAGATAGGAATGGAAACTTTTGTCAATAATATTGTGACTTTTCCGTCATTTGTCATTGTTTAGGTTCTAAGGTTAATATATTCCTTTTGGAGTCTGTGTTCACAGTAATTCCAAAAAGTTTTGAGTATTTTCATGTCCAGGTAAATTTGATATTTTCAGCACTAGCTTTTAAGACAACATATTTTGATGTTTTCAGTTTTAGACTAGAAACGGATGTTTTAAAGAAATACTTGCGCAGATTGAGATAAACAAATGAATTTATCCTCATTTAGCACTCGGTAGTTTTTTAATGAATTAGGTAATGAAATTGAACATAGAGCGGGAAAACATATTTTCCATGACACGACCTTGCGCTTAACGCAAACTATCTATAAATTGAGCTAAATGTTATTTTCATTGTCGTACATTGGAAGTGCGTTTTGATGTGCGTTTAGCAGTTCGTGCTATTATGTACAATATATAAAAAAATGGGTCAAAGACAGAAAAGGTCGGGTTGCATATGTGTACAAAATATCATGAGGCTGTGATGTTACTTAAATTTTCTCCATTGATGTTGAAAATTTAACTTGGTTGATAAACCTGAAAAGAATGAGCATCAGACCTGAAATGGAATCCCACAATATGGGACCACAGTCATGTCAATGCTGTGAACCACATATCAAGAGGCTGTGGTAAGAAGTTGTTGAGAAAACTGTTAAGAAAATTTCCTACTATCTATTGATCATTAATGTTGAAAATTTAACTAAATCGGCAAACAGGAAGTGGATGAGCGACAGACCTGAAATCGAATCCCACGATATGATACCATGTGCTGATGCTGTTTACCAAATATCAAAGGGCTGTGATAAGTAGTTGCTGAGAAAACTGTTACGAAAAATTCTTACTATTGACTGTTAATGTTGAAAATTTAACTAAGTCGGCAAACAGGAAGTAGATGAGCGACAGACCTGAAATCGAATCCCACAGTATGGGACCATGTGTTGATGCTGTATATACCAAATATCATAAGGCTGTGATAAGTAGTTGCTGAGAAAATTGTTACGAAAATTTCCTACTATTGACCATTAATGTTCAAAATTTAACTAGGTCAGCAAACAGGAAGTAGATGAGCGACAGACCTGAAATCAAATCCGACAGTATGGGACCATGTGTTGATGCTGTATACCAAATATCAAAAGGCTGTGATAAGTAGTTGCTGAGAAAACTGTTACGAAAGTTTTTCTCCGCCCAGCCGCCGCCCGGCCGCCCGCCGCCCAACATTCACCATACTATAACCCGGGTTTGCACCAGTGCAACCAGGCCAATAAATCGAGGCATGGGCGATTCTACAGATTGCACATCGTCTATTATTAAACCATACGGTTGGGGAGGGATCCCGGGATCGCCATTTGAAAAGCCGGGATCTTATTAGATATATATAGAATCCCGGAAATCGACCACCTGTCATTCCTGGAATGCTCAGCTGACATAGCAAATTAACGGTACATTCCAAAATAATGTGCTCTGCTTGGTGAACATTCAAGCACAACAATACTTTTACACTTTATTTTACAATCAGTCTGCAGCCTGAGCTAGCTCTTTGCTGTGACAAAGCCCAAATCGCTTAATGATCAATAATAAATCAATAAAGAGATATCACAAATTATTTTCATAATTCATTATTTATTTTTACATTTTGACATCTTTCTCATTTTTATACAACACATTCATCTACATTTTATCTACAAATAATTCAATATTAACAATTAAGTATCGCAAAAATAACAACAACAATTACACAATCAACATGTTACCTTCCTACAGCAAAAGCCATTAAGTCAAAACATGAGTACATGTATACTGAAATACCATTCTAACTCTATGAATACAAAAATAGCGAGTTAAAAAGAGTGTTCCATGACCCACGACCCTACTTCCACATTCTCATATAGCCTGAAAGCGCATTGCTTGTATATGTAAATACATACAAGTATATGGGGCTATAATGAAAACCAAGAGCACTGAGGTGAAAATCAGCAATTTTCAAGCCCTTGCATTTTTAGGTTTTACTATTTTGTCACCATTCAATTATGATTACTTCAATTTAACATCAACTGTAAGAATTTCATTAGCTTGTTTTTTATCCTTTAATAACAAGTATGTTTCATGATATAGGCAATGCAATAATGATCTAGATACAAAACCTGTAAATGGTAATTTTGACCCTCCTCGAGTTTATTTTGACGCCAAAGTTAAAAGAAATCTTGAAAAGGGGAGAAGCAATGAAAAAAACATCAAGATAAGAAATTGGATGTATCACATGAAGACAGAATAATTCAACAAAAGTAACATATTTTCCCAAAATCAAGTTTTGACAAATGCATATAAATAAATATTATCTGAAAAAGGGTAATTAATAAAACATACCTGTAGCTAAAGGGAAAACCATATGGTAATGATTGCCTCCTTGGGATTTCTCCTATATGTATATCTAAGACAATACCACAAAAGGCTTTATGACAACCACTTTAGTGTAGGTTTCATTCAAATCATATAATTGGTTGTGGAGTTAAAGCACATGCAAGATTGTACCATATGAATGAACAGACATAAAACCTGTAACATCACTACAAATTCATTGTATTGTACTTCCCAACAACAAGTGTAATATCTTAGCGGTAGTTGTCTGAATCATAATCACATTAAAGCTTGTTCTGACCCAAAATGATTCTTGGTATAAAAATAATATGATAAAAATCTCAAATTGGTACATTTCTGACAATTTCTTGTGAAAAAAATGCATTCTTATACATTCCTTCTGATAGCTTCTGATAAAAGCCAAAGAAAAAATCACCATTAAAACAAGAGCCATGTCAACATGGCCATCACCCGCCGAATGTGTTTGCTCATTGTAAGAATGTATATGTCGTACAGCAGAATAATTCAATTTTAAGAGGTCTTTTGGTAATGAAAACTGATGGCTGAAGTGATCACAGATTTGAAACCTATGTGAATACTGATGGCTGAAAATAACAAAGGGCAATAACTGAAAAATAATGAAAGGTAGGTTATCATACTTGTGTGCTGCATCCTTCCTCAATAAGATCTATCCACCTATGAAGTCTCAAGTTGATACCTCTAACACTTTGAGATAAGGTCCGAACAAAAAGTATGAAAAAGAACAAAGGGCAATTACTAAAAAATTATATAGGGAAGGGTTATCATTCTTGCGCACAGCATTCCTCCTCAATATGATCTATCCACCTATGACGTTTCATGTTGACATCTCAAACACTTTTTGAGTTATGCTCCATTCAGGTGAAAAATTAAGTATGAAAAATAACAAAGGGCAATAACTAAAAAATTATGCAGGGTAGAGTTATTATTATTGTGCACTGCACTCCTCCTCAATGAGCTTTATCCACCTATGAAGTTTCAAGTTGATACCTCAAATACTTTTGAGATATGCTCCGGACAAAAATGTCGGATGGAAGGACGGACGAAGGCTATTTCTACAAGTTCTATATCCCCCGTCACCTTTCCGTGGGGGATAATAACTTATCATTATGTCAGAAGGTGCCCTGCCTTCTCAGATGTTTTTGTCCAGTGTCAAAATTTAAGAAAACACTTTTTCATTTTCATGTATTCATCAAATAAGGCATTCAAAACTTCACTTTTTAAAAAATGCCCATTATTCACAAATAATACTTTTCACAATTCATTACCTCACAATCCAAATCATCAATGTTTCAAATAATTTGTTTCAAAGTTATCGGAAAACGTCACTATTCTCAACTGTCACAAGTAAATATATATTTCATCAAATCCTTTTATTTCAAGATTGTAGTATTCATTTTGCAGTGATAAAAATTTAAATACAATTCATGCCTCAATCATTAAAATCTTCATATTTCCTAGATCATCTGAATTATCCACTTTATAAGTTAATTAATCTGTTAATCATCTTCGTATTCTGAACAGTTCACAAATTTCATCACCAATATCCACCACCGTTCACCAATTTCTGAACAGAAAGTCTTGTGTGTTACAAGAAACAGCAAAAGATAGCCCCCAATATGGGGTGAATTCTCCAAACTGCCTCCAATGTCATCAACACAGTGGTATTAAATCGACAAGGTTACCTTTGGGTTGAGTCATGTTTTCAGGGAAGAATTCTACGAGTAGATCAAACAATTCTGTCCTTTTATGGTAAGATTCTGATGTATTTGATTCACTGACTGTAAAATATAACAACTAATTAGCAACATCAAATCATCATATGTTATCTTTGTTTTTCCAACTTTTTAACTAGAACTATCACTAAATGTGATTAATACCCCCACAAGTCTGCTTCGGAAATGAGGATGTTACTAGTAACAGAATACCTTGTAAAAGAATTGAAATATAGAGTTATGGTTGTGGGCAATTAAAGATAATTGTGGTTCATGTATGTTGCATTTCCTTTCAATGTGGTTGGCCATTGATGAAGTTTAATTGAATTACTCTGTAATAAGTCCAGAAAGACAAAGAAAAAGAACAAAGGGCAATAACTCTATAAATACTGAAGATAGAGTTATAGTTCTTGTGCACTGCACTTCCTCTTATTGTGCTTGACCATTGTATGAAGTTGTTTTGAATTCCAACCAGTACGTTTTAAGTTATGCTCCGGACAAGGAAAAGTATCAAAGGGCAGTAACTCTGTATTTTGTCAAAATGGAGTTATGGCTCTTGTGCACTGCCAGTGTTTTTTTTCACTTTTGGGGGAAGGGGGTCAGTGCCAATTGGAGGGGGAAAAATGCAACAGGAGGGGGATTTTTATACAGATCTAAAATATTGATGTGTCACATGATAAACTTATTGGGATACCAGGAGTAGCTCCCCTTACCTATATGAAAAACCTTGCTTAACAGTAAGTCTTACAGGCATAAAATAAAGCATTTTTCGGCAGTTAGGTGCAAAAAAATGATATTCATTGCAGGCAGATTTGGGCTGCCATATTATAGGGGGAAATTTCAGCTTTGAGGGGGGAAAAAAACATACTATTTTGAGGGGGGAATAGGGAGAATTTCGCCGAATATTTTGGTGAAAAAAAAACACTGACTGCACTTCCTTTTAATGTCCTTGACAACTGTATGAAGTTGTACTGAATTCCAAACAGTAGTTTTCAAGTTATGCTCTGGACAAGGAAAAGTAACAAAGGGCAATAACTCTGTAATAAGTCAAGATGGAGTTATGGTTCTTGTGCACTGCACTTCCCCTTATTGTGCTTGACCATTGTATGAAGTTGTTTTGAATTCCAACCAGTAGTTTTCAAGTCATGCTCTGGACAAGGAAAAGTAACAAAGGGCAGTAACTCTGTAATTAGTCAAGATGGAGTTATGGTTCTTATGCACTGCACTTCCTCTCAATGTGCTTGACCATTGTATGAAGTTATAATGAATTCCAACAATAAGTCTTCAAGTTATGGTCCGGACAAAAGAAAGCAATGGAAAAGTAACAAAGGGCAATAACTCTGTAATTAGTCAAGATGGAGTTATGGTTCTTGTGCACTGCACTTCCCCTTATTGTGCTTACCATTGTATGAAGTTGTTTTGAATTCCAACCAGTAGTTTTAAAGTCATGCTCTGGACAAGGAAAAGAAACAAAGGGCAGTAACTCTGTAATAAGTCAAGATGGAGTTATGGTTCTTGTGCACTGCACTTCTTCTCAATGTGCTGGACCATTGTATGAAGTTATAATGAATTCCAACAAATAGTCTTCAAGTTATGGTCCGGACAAAAGAAAGCAATGGAAAAGTAATAAAGGGCAATAACTCTGTAATTACTTTAGATAGAGTTATGGTTCTTACGCACTGCACTTCCTCTCAATGTGATTGACCATTGTATGTAGTTATATTGAATTCCAACCATTAGTCTTCAAGTTATGGTCCGGACAAAAAAAAGAAGGCAATGGAAAAGCAACAAAGGGCAATAACTCTGTAATTACTTTAGATAGAGTTATGGTTCTTGTGCACTGCACTTCCCCTTATTGTGTTTGACAATTGTATGAAGTTGTTTTGAATTCCAACCAGTAGTTTTCAAGTTATGCCCCGGACAAGGAAAAGTAAAAAAGGGCAATAACTCTGTAATTAGTCAAAATAGAGTTATGGTTCTTGTGCACTGCACTTCCTCCCAATGTGCTTGACCATTGTATGTAGTTACATTGAATTCCAACCATTAGTTTTCAAGTTATGCTCCGGACAAGGAAAATGCAACGGACGTCTGGACCGACTGACCGACCGACCACCGGGTGACTCCTATATACCCCCCCAAACTTCGTTTTCGGGGGTATAATGAGGGGAGCTGTTCTTGTTTATTTTTTTATATTTTTTTTAGCTCTTATAAATTTATTTTCTTTCCTTCTTTATGAGGGGGTGAAGGATGTAATGTCTATTTTTAGACAGGTTTTAATTGAAAGAGTATAAAATTTAAATGCTTTTAATTTTTAGGTCTTCTTCACACAATAAAAATGACTATTCATGAAAAATGAAGTGAGCGAGTTATATGAAATTTTGCATACAAGTCATTGTCATAGACCTACATCAAATGTTATTAAAATCTTAATAAATATTTATTTCCAATCCCACCATATCAGAAAAACTTAAGTGGAGAATTTAAAAGTTTGTGCATCTTTTATCTTTGTTTAGTTGTAGTTGAGTCAACATGAACCTTTTTGAAAACCTAGCTATACACCATTTTCCAGTATGTTTTAGCTCTGGGAAATTACATCTAATGAAGTTTACCTGATTTTTCTAATTTCTTTTTTTTTTACCAATTGAAATGGAAAGACTTGAAGTGTAAGAAAATTATCAATGTTCCTTTACTACCTATCCCAAATTTTACAAAAATTGAATTGTTTAATAATGAAAATCTATCAATTTAAAACAGTCATGGTGGCACCTGTTATAATAATTGATATTTAATATGTGAACTCGAGTATTTAGATATTATTTGCATGTAATTATTTGTACAATGATATTGTATCTTTTCTTTTAATATATTGTTTTATTTCGTTTTAATCCAAGAAAAGACCATAAAAATACATATCATTATTACACGCCATTTAGGTGAATTCCCTAGAGCTATGTACAGGAAGTACGAAAAACAGTGTTTAGCTAGGTTTCTGAATTCATGAATTGCATAAAAAGTAATCATTTTGATTAACTGAGTCAAGAAACAGTACAAATCATTTGTTTTGAATATGTGGGGAAAATAATTATTGATGAAACATTGGCTGTATAGGAGTATATATCATCAGTATGAAACTTACAAGAACTTTGGCTATCATACATTTCTTCATCCTCTAGACCACTCGAAAACAATGTGGAAGCAAGCAAATGAAACTGAAATTGTAAACGTTTTTAAACAATAACAAAAAATCTACTATGATGCTAGAGATGAAATGTAGAAAATCAAATAAACAATCTATTTCATATAAATTTCATATTCAAAGGAAAACTAATTCTGTCTTTTTTATTGAAATCTAACATTATGTTTTTGATATTTTTGCTTAATGTATACTTTTGCTCCATATTACTTAGTGAGAAACATGCTGAAGTTAAGCAATTAGATCATACATGATTTGATAGAAAGCTATTTCAAGCTTTTCTTTTTTCATTAAAATAAATACTAATTCCAAAGTCCAAAGATGTCATTTTGTCAGAGACAATTATTACATATTACTAAGTACATGTCATATATAACTGGCATTTTAATTTTTCTGTGTCTAAAGCAAAATTTTTATTACATATTACTAAGTACATGTCATATGTAACTGGCATTTTAATTTTTCTTAGTTTCTAAATTATAATCAAAATAATGTACACTTCAGTATTGGATATAAAATTCTGTTTCTTTTAAACTATTTAATGATATGCCTGAAATTTTGCGTAACCACATATAACCCACTTCTTCCAAGGGACACAACCTTGAATATAGTTTTTGTCAATAAAAATAGTTATCAAGTTTGAGTTATCTTTCCTTGAATAAGAAAATTTTGTCTTATTGAGTTTCAATGTTCTCTTCAATACTGGTGATTTTCCAATGTTACTGGTAAAAGAGGACCTTGGCGCCCCTTTGTGCAATATGTCAGGAACAAGCAGGCACCTAAGCTGAGCAACAACCTCCCATAAGCTATGATAAACAAGACAAAATGAGATGATGTAAAATAATAACCTCTTGTGTTTCAGCTTCACTATTATGGTCTATTACAGCTGCCAGATCTCGCTGTAAATATAACATGGCCTTCTGCTGGTCCTGGCTTGATAATTCTTGAAATCTGTATTTCCTCATTAAATATTTACATCGCCGCAATAAGTTTACAGGAGATGGCCGGCATAACTATAAAATCAAAATAAAATTAAAATTAGATTGGATAAAAACACTGGAACTGAAGATTACAATAATTTATATAATTCAAAATATGAGAAACTAGAAATGTTCCCATAGGACACAGATGCCCCTACATTCCTTTTTTTTGACTAAATGTTAAATAGGCGACCAAATCTTTATGTCCCCACTCAACCAAAAGTAACCCTAAATATCTTCACTAGAATTAGAATAACTTTGAATACCTGCTAGTTCAAAAACATCCTTAACATAAATGAAAATATTAGACTGGTCACATCTTTATCAACTTCAAATGTTAATACCATTCTTTTTGAAAATTGGTCTTAAAATTTGGAGTTGTCGTGGTCGAAGAATGGTTTCAACTGTACATATATTTCAAACTGATACCTTTAAAAAGAATGTATTAACATCACTCTAAAATTTATTTTACACCTTACACAATTAGTATATTCAACCCTAAACTGTTAATAAAATTGCAGAAATAATATTTTCCAGTATTCCAAAGTAGGATTTTCAATAGTGTTTAAACAAGAGCTGTCACAGGAGACAGCGAAGCTCGACTAATAAAATACTGGACGCAGTAAGGAGGACAAAACTATGAAAGAAAAATCAATTATGTATAATTATGTATTAAGTTATAGTAAAAAAATAACATTTATTAACATAAATTCCAAGATCAAGGGGAATAATTCTAGAAATAGTCATGCTAGAGTTATGGACCTTGCCACACAACATTTCTGTAATGATAAGAAATATATATTTGAAGTTTGAAGTAGATAGATTAAAAAATAAAGAAGTTATTATATTTCTTAAAGAAAATCCTAAGTTCAAAGAGAGATAAATCTGTAAATATTGCTTCAAGAGTTATGAACATTGTCACATAAAATGTAATTGATGATAAGGAATAAGTATTTGAAGTTTGAGGTAGATACCTATAAAAACAAGAGGGCCATAATGGCCCTGAGGTCGCTCACCTGTATATAGGCCCCCGGAGCGGGGCCAGTTTAAACCCCAGGGCTTTTATTTGAGCAAACTTGGAAGACACCCATTAGAAGATGTTTCATGATGTTAAGTTTTTACTACACACATATAATGAAAAACAATGACCTCCGCCACCCCCCCCCCCCCCCCCCCCCCCCTTTGGCAGGGTTAATTTAAACCCAAGGGCTTTTATTTGGACAAACTTGGTAGACACCAACAAAAAGATGTTTCCTGCTTAAAATCTAACCTCTAGCTCATTGGGTTTTTTAAAAGAAGATTTTTTAAGTTTTTGCTATACACATATAGTTAAAAACAATGACACCTCTGGGGCGGGGCCAGTTTTAACCCCCAGGGCTTTTATTTGAACAAACTTTGTAGACACTTACTAGAAGATGTTTCATTCTTAATATCTAAACTCTAGCTATTTGGGTTTTTTCAAAGAAGATTTTTAAGTTTTTGCCATACACATATAAGGAAAATCAATGACCCCCAGGGCGGGGCCAATTTTGACCCCAGGGCTTTTATTTGAACAAACTTTGTAGACACCCATTAGAACATGTTTCATGCTAAATATCTTAGCTCTAGCTCTTTGGGTTCTTTAAAAGAAGATTTTTTAAGTTTTTACTATATGCATATAGGGAAAATCAATGACCCCCTGGGGCGGGGCCAATTTTGACCCCAGGGCTTTTATTTGAACAAACTTTGTAGACACTCACTAGAAGATGTTTCATGCTTAATATCTAAACTCTAGCTATTTGGGTTTTTTCAAAGAAGATTTTTTAAGTTTTTACTATATGCATATAGGGAAAATCAATGACCCCCAGGGCGGGGCCAATTTTTACCCCCAGGGCTTTTATTTGAACAAACTTTGTAGACACTTACTAGAAGATGTTTCATTCTTAATATCTAAACTCTAGCTATTTGGGTTTTTTCAAAGAAGATTTTTTAAGTTTTTGCTATACACATATAAGGAAAATCAATGACCCCCCGGGCGGGGCCAATTTTGACCCCCAGGGCTTTTATTTGAAAAAAATTTGTAGACACCCATTAGAAGATGTTTCATGCTAAATATCTTAGCTCTAGCTCTTTGGGTTCTTTAAAAGAAGATTTTTTAAGTTTTTACTATATGCATATAGGGAAAATCAATGACCCCCTGGGGCGGGGCCAATTTTGACCCCAGGGCTTTTATTTGAACAAACTTTGTAGACACTCACTAGAAGATGTTTCATTCTTAATATCTAAACTCTAGCTATTTGGGTTTTTTCAAAGAAGATTTTTTAAGTTTTTGCTATACACATATAAGGAAAATCAATGACCCCCGGGCGGGGCCAATTTTGACCCCCAGGGCTTTTATTTGAACAAACTTTGTAGACAACCATTAGAAGATGTTTCATGCTACATATCTTAGCTCTAGCTCTTTGGGTTCTTTAAAAGAAGATTTTTTAAGTTTTTACTATATGCATATAGGGAAAATCAATGACCCCCTGGGGCGGGGCCAATTTTGACCCCAGGGCTTTTATTTGAACAAACTTTGTAGACACTCACTAGAAGATGTTTCATGCTTAATATCTCAACTCTAGCAATATGGGTTTTTTCAAAGAAGATTTTTTAAGTTTTTACTATACACATATAAGGAAAATCAATGACCCCCGGGGCGGGGCCAATTTTGACCCCCAGGGCTTTTATTTGAACAAACTTTGTAGACACCCATTAGAACATGTTTCATGCTAAATATCTTAGCTCTAGCTCTTTGGGTTCTTTAAAAGAAGATTTTTTAAGTTTTTACTATATGCATATAGGGAAAATCAATGACCCCCTGGGGCGGGGCCAATTTTGACCCCAGGGCTTTTATTTGAACAAACTTGGTAGACACCCATTAGAAGATGTTTCATGCTAAATATCTTAGCTCTAGCTCTTTGGGTTCTTTAAAAGAAGATTTTTTAAGTTTTTACTATATGCATATAGGGAAAATCAATGACCCCCTGGGGCGGGGCCAATTTTGACCCCAGGGCTTTTATTTTAACAAACTTGGTAGACACTCACTAGAAGATGTTTCATGCCAAATATCTAAGCTCTAGCTCTTTGGGTTTTTTAAAAGAAGATATTTAAAGTTTTTTCTTTTGGTTGCCATGGCAACCAGAGTTCTGCATGGAATTAAATTCTTTGAACAATTTTTAAAGGTGACCACCAAAGGAACATTCCTGTGAAGTTTGGATGAAATTGGCTTAGTGGTTTATGAGGAGATGTCATTTAAAGTAAAAGTTTACGGACGGACGACGGACGGACGACGGACGGACGGACGGACGAAAAGTGATCACAAAAGCTCACCCTGTCACTTTGTGACAGGTGAGCTAATAATAAAGTTAAAATAAAAAATAACATTTTTCTAGTAAATAAATCTAAGTTTATGGGGAGATAATTCTTGCAATATTGGTGCTAGAGTTATGAACCTTGTCACATAAGATGTGGATGATGATAGTGTAAATATATTTGAAGTATGAAGTTGATCCTTTTAGAAATAAATAAGTTACAGTAAAAAATAATATTTTGTATGGAAAATTCTAAGTTCAAAGGGAGATAAATCTGAAAATATTGGTGCTAGAGTTATGAACCTTGTCACATTAGATGGGGATGATGATAACGTAAATATATTTGAAGTATGAGGTTGATCCCTTAAGAAATAAAGAAGAAACAGTAAAAAATAGTATTTTTTGAGGAAAATTCTAAGTTCAAGGGGAGATAAATCTGAAAATATTGGTGCTAGAGTTATGAACCTTGTCACATAAGATGGGGATGATGATAAGGTACATATATCTGAAGTATGAGGTTGATCCCTTAAGAAATAAAGAAGAAACAGTAAGAAATAGTATTTTTTGAGGAAAATTCTAAGTTCAAGGGGAGATAAATCTGAAAATATTGGTGCTAGAGTTATGAACCTTGTCACATAAGATGGGGATGATGATAAGGTACATATATTTGAAGTATGAGGTTGATCCCTTAAGAAATAAAGAAGTATCAGTAAAAAATAGTATTTTTTAAGGAAAATTCTAAGTTCAAGGGGAGATAAATCTGAAAATATTGGTGCTAGAGTTATGAACCATGTCACATAAGATGTGGTTGATGATAAGGAACATATATTTGAAGTATGAGGTTGATACCTTAAGAAATGACAAAGTTATAGTGAAAAATATTTTACTGCACCAAAACTTTAATCTAAAATCTGGACGCCGACGCCGGGGCGAGTAGGACAGCTCTCCATATACTTCGTATAATCGAGCTAAAAATGCAGTTGTAATCACAACAAAATATATAATACCTGTAAGCACCAAAAATCATCTAATCTCATTTTAGGTAGACTTTCCTTTCCTGGATTGCCCCCAAATAAATAATGCACCTTAAAACAATAAATATTATTCAAAATACAATTATTCACTTTGAAACATCTATTATAAAAGGTTTTATAGTGATACATGTCTCTAAGGTTTCATGATGCAAAAGAATTTTCTAAGGACCTAAAATAACCTTATGTTTTCACAACTAAGAGCTATATGTCCTACATGTGAGTATGTCAATAATGCACAATACATTGGAATTAATACAATAGCGAACCTACATGTATCTGTCAATTTGTTTGTTATAATTATGATTCTCTGTGATGAAGCAAATTTTAAGAATATTTTCTTCAGATGGTCAATATTTACCTTTCTGACATGATCATATACAAGTTGATGGGCAAACCTTGGAACAGGTTCTACATGCTGCATCTTGGTCCAGTACTGCTGTCCAGTATTCTCATTCTTATATATACAGGACCTGAAATAGTCACACAAGTTATCTTATATAATTATATAACCAAACATTAATGTAGAAAACATAGTACTATCATTTTGATTCAAGACCCATTATGCCCCAGAAATGCTTTTATTTTTGTTTTTCAGTTTTTGTTTAAAAACCATGCAGTCTGACCAGGCTCTATACTGGTGGCTTGTCTACTTAAAATTTCTATCCGGCTATCCCCGGACATCTTAAGAAATGGAAACTAGACAAAGTCCATTTAAGAAATTTAGCAGGTTTAGCTAGTTACTTCAGACTTGCTTGAAGGATTTGTCCAATAAGAAACTTTAGCCTCTTACAGGACTTTCACTCATACTGCTGAATAACAAGTACACGTATCTCAATGTCAGAAACAAAAGCCCTTGGATCATTTTTAAAAAGTGATCAAAATTAACTGTGAACTATTTCAGAAGTAAATCTAAAATTTCAATTATTTCACTACAGAATCTGTGAAACATTATATATTTAGAAGCATATAAAACTTACCATTTACATTTATTTATATCATACACCCAAAATGAATTTTTCACATTATCTCTTTTATCTTTGTCTTTACTTAGACCCTGAAATAAAAAGTTGTGAAATATATATAATATGTTACAAATTTTACACTGTTAAATATTTAAACCTCTCACCAAACTCTTCATTAGTCAAGATGCCATTTTCAATTCTAACATATACAAGAAATGTTAAGTACAAATGAGAGCCAATTTGTTGCTGATTGTCTATACAAACTGGGTTAAATGGGGAGTGACAAAGTGACTATTTTGCCCTAGTCACCAAAACATGTGATCCCTGCAAAATTATACTTGTTGGTTTTACTGGTTTTTAGGCCAATTTCAACAAATTTTTTATCATATCTTAATCTACCTAAAAAAATCCTGGATAATTAACCAAAAGTTTTAAATTTTTTCACAAGTGAAAGACTACCAATCCCACTTTCTGATTTAGTTGTGAGAGACAAATGACCATTAAACTACATGTTCAAGAAATCAATTGTCATAGAGAAAGGGGACAATGTCAGAATGTACATATATAACTTACAGAGAGTACATGTATCTCATCTGTGTCAGGATCTAGTGTTGCTCTTTGTGTAAACCCAGCAGCAGGAACTGTAAAACAACATTCTTATTGAATAGGTTAATAATTAAACTGTTGATTCTTTTAAAATCCATAAAACAAAAAACCAAATTGATGAACATTTTTACCACATTTAATTTTGTTCTTTGTAAATGTAAAATATAAAACAACATAGGACTATCTAGACTTTTGTTAAGAATGAATACCCAAAAACCAACTTTTCTTCTCTAACAACCCTATTTCTATGTCCATGATATAAATTTTCTGATTGGAGACATAACAAGAGCTGTCGGTAGGACAGCAACGCTTGACTATTCTTAGTGCTTGATAGTAAAAATGCCTTGATAATGTAAAGTTTTCTAAGTTAACAAAAGGGCAAAAATTTTCTTTACATCCATGTTACAGTTATAGGCCTTAAAGAGAGGGCTATTATGCTCTCAAAGAAAAGTATAAAATTTCAACTTGTTTCAAAGCCAAATGTCAAAAGAATATGAAAATATCTGAGGTGGTATGCACACTTAAATGTAAATCTGAGGTGGTATGCACACTTAAATGTAAAAGTTGAAAAAGGGGCATTATTCTGCCAAATGCTTCATAGTGTTACCTCCTCCTGTCTACAGGTTTGGGTCATGATGGTGAACAAGTGTGCAAAGTTTCAAAGCCATATGTCAATAGAGTTTGAAAATATTTGAGGTATTACAAAAACCTTAATATAAGAGCAGGCCTCGACACTAACTTTTTTAGCAGGTGGTTAGCCGGACCACTAGATTTGAAATTAAGGTGGTCCTTCCAGGAGTCAGGTGGTCAATTATTATTATGTCATTTTACTGCAAAATTAGAAAAAATATGTTTAAAATTGATGACAAAGATGTATCATTAACCTTAAGAAAACAGATATTTTAGATATATATTTTTATCTAATCAGAAATAAAGGAGAGCAAGTTAGTAGGTATTTTATCATAAAGTTATTTGGTTTTTTATATGTCATTCAAAAATACACAACAGGGCTCTTATTTATGTTAACTTTTATATAGGAGTGATTTCTCTGTCAACTCAAGTTAGGGAATAGTGAAACAATTTGTGTCTGTAATTTTCTTATTCAATTTGTTATTCATATATTCATTGCTGATATGTGGTACGACTTTAATTACGATAATTACATGTATCTTTTATAGATTAACATTTTTAATAAAACTAATAAAGTATCTTAAAACAAGGAAATAGCTAGAGGATAAAAAAAATAATACTAATGTTATATATAACTATAGTTTAGCTTATTTTTCTCACAGATGTATAATACCGAATTTTTACCTCCCTGTTGCTTGTTGGTTGATATTTATTTTAAACACGAGTATTTTAAACCTTTTAAAGTAATTTTAATGGATCTCTATCGTTAAACAGTTAAAATAAAGATAAGTAGCAAAGAATTACTAGATGTATTTTTCCAGTTCCTTTTGTTTGCTGCCATTTTTTAAGTATATGAAATTTTAAGTTTATCTTATATCCCATACAATATCATAATTACCATCGTCGAATGCCCACGGTTAATTAACATGTAATATAACATAAATGTTACTGGTTCCACCGTAGGTATCCGATGATGCATAATTATCAGCATCATTTGAATGAATTTAATTGATATCACAAAGTCTAAACTCTTTTAACTTGCATAAACCAAATTTTAGCGACTTAAAATGAAAGTTATAGATGACTTAAGAACTTCTTTAACTAATCAGATAATTAATGAACCATATACATGTACATCGGACAAACGATTTTAAAGAAAATGTTTATAACATGTTTTTGACCAAATCACCATTCTCCCAAATGAGTCTGCACCAACCAGAAAATTCAAGTGGTCCGACGGACCAGCGGCTTTTAAAATTAAGTGGTCCTTGCCAAAATCAGGTGGTCTCGGACCAACGGACCACCGCTAATGTCGAGGCCTGAAGAGGTTACGTCAAATAGTCAAGCTAAAAATTACACTTTAAACTTTGAAATCATGGTTATCTTTTAAGTCTATCCATAGCAATATAAAGAAAGTTTTAAAGCAATAAATAGTAGAAAGTACTATTTCACTAATTTCTGAATCAAACTTTTTCTTTTTTTAATTTAAGAATAACAGAAATTTCATTAATTCAACATACAAAAATCTTTAGTAACACATTTTTCAATACAATCCACCTTCAATTTTCTTAAATCATCTATTAATTTAATAATTGATCAATAACAAATTATCACCTGATTTTTTGCTAGGATCTTTGAGGAAATTTCTTATATGTTGATAGCCTGGATTATCAGGTCTACCCGTTACACTGACATCTTTCTTTGTTCCGTCCGAGATAATCTCAACACTACTATCATCCACATGATACATTAGAAAATCATTTAAATATTCCTTTGACCTTTGACCAGCAAAGATAAACAATGCACGCTTTTTCTGTAAATATATATAAAATAGCTTTTTCTGTAAATATATATAAAAATAGCTAAAATGTGTCCCAGCATTCCATTGTTACTTCAGTCTACACACAAAAATGGGAAGGAAAACATGGTCGAGTCCATTATAGATATTTAGAGTGGTAAGGGTTAAAGTGAATTTGTCCATAACGGAAGGTCTGAAATTCCATAGGTAATTACGTTGATAGTAATCAGAATCATACCTGAAACAAACTATGACAGATGTTAATACATGGATGATGTTGTCGAGAGAATCTCAGCGAGATACATGATCTGATATTACATATCATTATCTACATCAATCATAATAAATTGCTGTCAAATAAAATACCATTTTACATCAAGTTAGTGATAATACTAAATCACTTACAACCAATATTTTATTCTAGAAATATTTATAAAATATCCAAATGATATTTCTATTTGAAATTCTTTTGCAAACTGTGCCTGCTGTAGACCAGTTCACTTAAACACAACTGATTCAGAATGCGATGTAATATTATAAAGAATACAATGATGCCTGTTTGATTTGAAACATGTATGTACTTTCAGAATTATGCCAGTATTTTATTACCTATGCCATCTGATTGTGAATTTTATTGATGTAATTTGCAAAATTGTAAATTTTATGTGTGAATTAGTTGTCTGGAATATTTTGCAAGCATTAAAACATTAATTCTTATCTATCAGTTGAAACAGTATATTTTACAACAATTAACACCCTATGAATGAATGTTTCAATTTTTAATTGTATAACAGCTAGGAAAAAAATGCACTTTTATCTGATACTCTGTGGGTCTACTCAGGTGCAAAAAATGCTACCTGAAATTATTCACAGCTAATACTGTTTCAAGTTTCCTGATATGAAAGCCATATACTGGTTAGTTCCAAGAATATTACTCAAAAGGGATTCAAATAAGCCTAAGGATTTTATCACAATCAAGCTAAAATACCGTAAAATCCTGATTTAACGCCCCCAGAAGCGTAACACTTTTCAAAAGGGGGGCGTTAAATAAAGATAAAAAAAAAAATCTCTTCAAACGCTCTCTCGAATTTTCCTCCCAAAAATTTCCCCAGATCCTGCTTGCAGTTGACACCTTTGATCTTGCCGACAATCGGACATATCCTAATTTACAATGTGTCAACTTCCAGATCTGTGTAGTTGTCCAGGTGCAAAGCTATATCGATAGTATGTGTACTGTAAATATGTTTACCGTTTTGTGTTTTTTAACATTTACTGTTTTCAAGTAGACTACACTCTGATTTAGTGCTCTTTAAAGTGTTTAAAATGGAATGATATTGGACATACCATGAATAAGTGAACTAGTAAGAGAGTTTCTTTATTTTCCTTTATTTTCTTTGTTTAAATTATACACCAGGTTTTCAAAAGTGGGTTGGGGGTTTTAATTAGGGTGGGGGCGTTAAATCAGGATTTTACGGTAAGTATCTTTAAAAGTAACTTACAGGATGAAACAACATAGAGTGGCCTATTCTGGACCTCAATTCTGTACAGTCATCTCGTAATTTAGTCCACGTGTTTGTTGGTATATGGTATGAAAATAATCCACTGAACTGTGGAGTAACATTTCTCTCCCCTTCTGTTGTACTGAAATTATCAACATTTTTTTATTTCATTTTTTTCTGCAAGTTTTCATGATACAAAATTTAATTGAGATATTATTTATATTCCATGTACATTATTTCATGGAATTTCAGGCTAGCTTATTCCATATAAGTATATTTTTTACCAAACCAATAATTACAAATTTCTCTCCTAAAGATCAATTTCTAGAATACAAACTAAAATGTGAGTGACTACTGAAAACTACGTGTCATGGTGAATAATCTGTATGATATTAAGCATTAAGGCATAAAAATCTGAAACCATCAGTCTTTTAAAATTTTTTCCTTTGAATATAAAACACAAACAATATATCAAATTTTCAAACCAGTTGAAGCTTACTTTGTTATTTTCAAAGAAAATAAATGGAGATTAGATATCATATATAATAAAAGTTTTTTTTTAAACAAAACTCAATTACACACATTCAAATTGAATAGATTGTTGATTGAAATTTCCTGAATTTTAAAAATATGACCTTTAAAAGTTCATTGTTACTTAGAAGTTGGGGTAATTTTTCAATACCTCAAAATGAGCCTCTTGCTTAGAGGTAATACAGTATGTAATGTCTATGCACTAACTTTAACAATGACAGCGTCATGAACAACTTTTCCGCAGACACACAGAGCAAAAAACAGAACATCAAGATTCATCAATGAATCAATCACAGCGGGTGGCTAAAAATACCTCAAATCAAACGATTTTTAATATGCAATGCAACTTACCAGGTTAAAACTCTACCACCAAATACATAAAGTGTTTGCTCTTTTATATCTATAACCATTTGATGATCAAAGATAAGCTTAGGCCCTCCCATTGCAGATGTGTCTTCTGTAATTAACATCCACTTATTGTTTTCTATATCATACATGTAAAAATCACTCTGAAAACAAAACATACAAAGTAGGTCTTCCATAAAGCAAGAACCAATTTTGTCACACACAGATATGTACAAGTAGTCTAAAGTTCGAAGCTTGGAAAGTAAGCACATTTTGTCATCATTGTGAACATATAATATCTTTATTTCATATAATGTGAAAATTTACACACAAAACATTATATGTATTACGTGCTTTTTTCACTGAAATTTTTGTTTATTTCAGAATTCACATAGACATCGATTATTGTAGTTATTTTTACAGCTATACAATTATCACAAAAATACCTATATATTTTATAAAAATAATGTAATTTCTAAGCACTAATGATAATCTCACAAGTGTAAAATTGTTTTTATATGTTAAATTGCTAAATGAAAATATAAAGATGAATAAAACAAGAGCTGTCACAGGAGACAGCGAAGCTCGACTAATAAAATACTGGACGCAGTAAGGAGAACAAAACTATGAAAGAAAAATCAATGATGTATAATTATGTATTAAGTTAAAGTAAAAAAATAATATTTGTTAACATAAACTCCAAGATCAAGGGGAATAATTCTAGAAATAGTCATGCTAGAGTTATGGACCTTGTCACACAACATTTGTGTAATGATAAGAAATATATATATTTGAAGTTTGAAGTAGATACCTTAAAAAGTAAAGAAGTTATTATATTTCTTAAAGAAAATCCTAAGTTCAAAGAGAGATTAATCTGTAAATATTGCATCAAGAGTTATGAACAATGTCACATAAAATGTAATTGTTGATAAGGAATAAGTATTTGAAATTTGAGGTAGATACCTTTAAAAATAAAAAAGTTATAATAAAAAATAACATTTTTCTAGTAAAAAAATCTAAGTTTATGGGGAGATAATTCTTGCAATATTGGTGCTAGAGTTATGAACCTTGTCACATAAGATGTGGATGATGATAACGTAAACATATTTGAAGTATGAAGTTGATCCCTTTAGAAATAAATAAATAACAGTAAAAAAAATATTTTTTATGGAAAATTCTAAGTTCAAAGGGAGATAAATCTGAAAATATTGGTGCTAGAGTTATGAACCTTGTCACATAAGATGGGGATGATGATAACGTAAATACATTTGAAGTATGAGGTTGATCCCTTACGAAATAAAGAAGAAACAATAAGAAATAGTACTTTTTGAGGAAAATTCTAAGTTCAAGGGGAGATAAATCTGAAACTATTGGTGCTAGAGTTATGAACCTTGTCACATAAGATGGGGATGATGATAAGGTACATATATTTGAAGTATGAGGTTGATCCCTTAAGAAATAAGGAAGTAACAGTAAAAAATATTATTTGTAAGGAAAATTCTAAGTTCAAGGGAGAATAAATCTGAAAATATTGGTGCTAGAGTTATGAACCTTGTCACATATGATGTGGTTGATGATAAGGAACATATATTTGAAGTTTGAAGTTGATACCTTAAGAAATGACAAAGTTATAGTGAAAAATATTTTACTGCACCAAAACTTTAATCTAAAATCTGGACGCGGACGCGGACGCCGACGCCGACGCCGGGGCGAGTAGGACAGCTCTCCATATACTTCGTATAGTCGAGCTAAAAATGAGATAATTACAGGCATTTTAACCTGTTATCCATTGTTTCCATCCTTATCCTGCTGGAACAAAAAGTTTTTGTGTGTTTGGTTTTACAGTGCACAGACATAATTTAGGTTATATGACGGCAAAACAGAAAAGATGATTTTGGTATACCTCATGTGTTACAAACTTAAAGAAACACCAGGGGTCAAAACCACCTCACCTGCTGGAGCTACGAGATGTATAGACACAAGTAATTGGAATCCATTTAGTCGCCTCTTCAGATCACACTGGGATAAATGGTGGCTGCAATTCTGATACCTCAACCCTCAGAATAGCAGCCACTGTTTATCACTGAGTGATCATTTCAATCCCAAATAAGTGAGGAGTAAGTTATGCAAAGTCAACAACTTTGGCATGCAGCAACAAAGGCCCTGCATTTTTTTATATTAATATGAACTTAGACTTAAAATAAAAATATAGACCTTTTAACAATTTTTACCTTTAAATTGGCCTCTGTTCTCATTGACGAGTCTAGATATCTACCAAGAGTAAAAATTTGTTTTCTTTCATAGTCAAGGCACATTTTATGACACGATCTAGCAGAGGGTCCACTCTGAAATACAAAATACAAAACATAAACTTCAACTTTGCATTTGATTGGTACATAGAGTAATTTGTAGTCTCATGGGAATAAGGTCTTTTTGGCAAATCATGTACAAAAGCATTACCTGTGAAGAACCATCATCTTTTGGTAAACTGGCTAGATATGATAGAATTCAAAATCCCTAGCAGGATCTGCCAAAACAGCTACAGCATTGGCTAATCAGTCAAACAGGCTAGTAAAATAGAAGGTGAACTTAGATTCTAGCACTTTTAAGTGTTAAAAAATCGAGTACCCCTCAATTTGGTGCTAGGGGATGTGAGGAATGTTGCCCTTTTTCATTATTTTTCATGTACATACACAATCAAACCAAGTCTGCAATTTTAATGTAATTCTGTTATGATTAATGCTTCCGAGGGATTACTCTTTCTCCAGATTTTCAAATTTGTTCATGACAAGAACAATGTCAAACACAGTAAGTCTTGATCATTCTTAAATTGGATTAAAACTTTTCCATTACTGATGGTGTATATTTTCCCAAATATAATTTAACATGATATAACAAACTTACCTCCTCAGCTGCATTCCGAGACAAACACGTCCATTGTCTGTTTAGAGAATTATAGCACCATAAATCAGCCAGGTCCTGGTTGCCGTCCCAGCCACCATATAAATATAAACTCTCTGAAATAGACATAATGTCTATGTTACACAATGTCAAATCTAAACAAACAAAAATTGATATTAAGAGGACATTTTTTCGTTTGAGTGAAATATGGAATATATTTTCACGAAACATGATAAAATGCCACATATTTTCAAGAGCCTGGGCCGCAAGTGAAAATATGTGGCACCTTATCATGTTTCGTGAAAATATATACCAAATTTCACGAAAAACGAAAAAAATAACCTTTTTATTTAATTTCATTATCAAAGAAAAATGGTTACAAACCCTGTTGCTTGCTACGCAACTGCAATTATACAGCATGCAGTAATATAATTATTGTCTTGTTTTGCATGCGATATTTAGCACTACATTGTGACGTCACGTAAACAACACTTTAAACATCTGTACAGCGTTAATGACTGAATTAAAGATATTGGTTTTCGGATTCATTTTCTTAGTTAGACCATTTTCTTTCAGTCTAGATAGTTTTCAAAAAAAAATCAACAAAAGTTGTTTGTATTTATCAGATTTTTCAAACAAAATGACGAAAGAAGTCCCTTAAAATAAATATGAGTTTTGACTCCGCCCACTTTCATATTTATATTTCATATTTATTTTTAAAAAATATGAAATATATTTGACTGATATAGCACCATATTTCATGGGTAAAATTAAATATATATTTTTTTTTTTCTATCTAAAAATATATTTATTACATGTATCTACCTTTCATTTTTTCCCCAATACAAACATGCACATTGGAATATTATTTGTTTTCATGATTGTAATTAACCTGAGAGTTTTAGATTATCTTGAAATTAACCTGATAAATGAAATCACTAAATGAAAACATTTCATATCAAAATTAATGAAATATGTCTTGGTGCTTATGTGTTGCTCACATTATTTATTCTTCATTAAATTTTAAAATGCCGTACCTGTGTGAATGTCAAGGGCCATCTGATGTCCACCTCTCATACCTGGACGACAATCTGTACTCTCTGACCCTAAGGATATACAATGCAATATTGTTATCAAAATTAAACCCTTAATTTCACTTGATTATCATTAGATTCTATGAGAAGTGTACCTTGTACATTTACCATGATAATATAACTAAGACTAGTCAAGCAAAGTTGGCCCTAAATTGAAAATGAAATATAATCAGAAATCAGATAAAAACACTTTGAAATTAAGATTCCCAAAATAGGAAATCATCAAGGCCGGCTACATCAGCCTTTAAACAAGGATGGTTTAAGCTTCATACCTGAACTTACAGGTTCAATTGCTGTCCATTTTGGTTTGTAATCCTGGTCACTAATGTACTGCTCAAACAAACCCTCTGAAGTAATAAACATGTGGTAAAAGTTGAGCATAGAAAATATCAACATATCAATTCATGTATTACAATATTCTTTCAGGTTTAATACATATCCACTTGTTTACCTTTAAAGAGAAAATATTACTTTGGCACACATTCAGCCCATTACACTTGACACTTATTTCTGAGAATTTTACCCACACTTTATACTGTTTCCTGATCAATTTGACACATCTATATTGAATTGTTCAAAATCACAATGAATGTTTCCATTTCTTAAGACAAGACAACATCATTACACAAATTCAACAGGGATATGTAATGCAAATATATATGATTAAGAAACAAGCAACATTCCAAGTTTGCATATTCAAATTCTTTCTATAAAAATTACCTTCACATGCTTTAGTTATGAGATCTTCACAGGCATCGTAATTTCCCTGTGTAACCAGCAGACCATGAAGCTCTGTTAGGATTGGGTGTTCAAGATCTACCCGTGTCTTCTTCTGTAACGCCTCATATGCTTCAACATACTGTCGCTGACGAAAATGTTTCAGGCATAATCTAATTGCTTCTTTTTCTCTATACTATAGAAATTAAAAACAAAATCAAAATTTTCCTCACATAATTTTTAATGTGAGATAAACTTTTTAAAAAAATGACAAATTTGAATTTCATCAAAATTAAATTCTAGACAAGATGTGTTTATAAAACAAAAAGCTCTGACATATACCTTAATATAAAACAAAGTTAAGCTTAAATTGCCAAACTTCCGAAATTCGACACTGAAGGTCAAATTCATAAGCATTATAAGTATAAACTTAATATATCTAAATGATGCTATTATTCAAAAGTATCCTTTGTCAAAGTATGTAGCTCTAGCCTACATAAAAGATGATCTTATGCCCATGTTAAAGATGTCTTTTCCGGAGACAGACGGACAAACAATGAAACAAAACAAAATACAATATGTCCTCTGACATATGTATGTTCCCACATAAAAGTGCACACAATGCAAGAAATATATTTTTATAGATTTTTTTTGACAGGTTATATGGCCCTATATAAGCAGCTTGGGTTATATTGCAAACAACCATTTATATACAGCCATAAAACTAGAAATATTTATAACAAATTTATAATACAATACTTCTTTTAGAGAAAAAAGAGTGAGATTTCTTCATAAATTCACAGCAGTCGTGTATATAAAACTATATAAATGTCATGAATAGCCAATGAACAAGAGCTGTCACAGGAGACAGCGAAGCTCGACTAATAAAATACTGGACGCAGTAAGGAGGACAAAACTATGAAAGAAAAATCAATTATGTATAATTATGTATTAAGTTATAGTAAAAAAATAACATTTGTTAACATAAATTCCAAGATCAAGGGGAAAAATTCTAGAAATAGTCATGCTAGAGTTATGGACCTTGCCACACAACATTTGTGTAATGATAAGAAATATATATTTGAAGTTTGAAGTAGATACCTTAAAAAATAAAGAAGTTATTATATTTCTTAAAGAAAATCCTAAGTTCAAAGAGAGATAAATCTGTAAATATTGCTTCAAGAGTTATGAACATTGTCACATAAAATGTAATTGATGATAAGGAATAAGTATTTGAAGTTTGAGGTAGATACCTTTAAAAATAAGAAAGTTAAAATAAAAAATAACATTTTTCTAGTAAATAAATCTAAGTTTATGGGGAGATAATTCTTGCAATACTGGTGCTAGAGTTATGAACCTTGTCACACAAGATGTGGATGATGATAACGTAAATATATTTGAAGTATGAAGTTGATCCCTTTAAAAATAAATAAGTTACAGTAAAAAATAATATTTTTTATGGAAAATTCTAAGTTCAAAGGGAGATAAATCTGAAAATATTGGTGCTAGAGTTATGAACCTTGTCACATAAGATGGGGATGATGATAACGTAAATATATTTGAAGTATGAGGTTGATCCCTTAAGAAATAAATAAGTTACAGTAAGAAATAATATTTTTTGAAGAAAATTCTAAGTTCAAGGGGAGATAAATCTGAAAATATTGGTGCTAGAGTTATGAACCTTGTCACATAAGATGGGGATGATGATAAGGTACATATATTTGAAGTATGAGGTTGATCCCTTAAGAAATAAAGAAGTATCAGTAAAAAAAGAGTATTTTTTAAGGAAAATTCTAAGTTCAAGGGGAGATAAATCTGAAAATATTGGTGCTAGAGTTATGAACCTTGTCACATAAGATGGGGATGATGATAAGGTACATATATTTGAAGTATGAGGTTGATCCCTTAAGAATTAAAGAAGTACCAGTAAAAAAAGAGTATTTTTTAAGGAAAATTCTAAGTTCAAGGGGAGATAAATCTGAAAATATTGGTGCTAGAGTTATGAACCTTGTCACATAAGATGTGGTTGATGATAAGGAACATATATTTTAAGTTTGAAGTTGATACCTTAAGAAATGACAAAGTTATAGTGAAAAATATTTTACTGCACCAAAACTTTAATCTAAAATCAGGACGCGGACGCGGACGCCGACGCCGACGCCGGGGCGAGTAGGACAGCTCTCCATATACTTCGTATAGTCGAGCTAAAAATGACATTACAAACGTGCAGTACTATAAAATAAGAACAATAATTATTATTAAATGATACCTACTGTATTGTACCAGTTCATACAAGGTTTAACAACATCTGGATCATCTATACCATTCAGTTGAACATGCCATATGCTAAAATTAAAACTTGGACCCCAAGTCTGAAGTGGCACTGCAAGAAAAGTTATATATCCCCTTGATATGGGAAATCATAGTCACATGTAATGTTACTTCTCTATGATAAAAAAACAAACAAAAAACATTTTGCACTGCTTAGTTTTTAACAATGAATCTATTAGGCACTAATGGTTTTAAACAAATATGTAGAAAAAATCATTTCTTTAATGTATGATTCTAAAAAAATATCAGAATCATATGCAAACATGATAATTATGCTTAAAACACTTTGATGCAGATAATGTATATAAATTACACCTGAAATAAAGACAACGTGCTGTAAGATTGTTGAAAAACAGAAATACTGAAAGAAAAGAAAGCAAACCTTATCCAAAATTAACTAATTTCCTGATTGTATACTTATTCAAAATAACAAAATACTGGGATTGAAAATATTTACCTATTTTTATATATCTACATGGAAAATGATTACTGTCTATTTCATTCTTCAGGGGAAATGTTTCTGGTATATGGTCATTCTTCAATCCACTGAAATCAAAATAAAGTCATAAACAATTATATTGCACTCTCTCTCTCTCTCTCCTCTCTCTCCTCCATCAGCAAATTAAAAAAATATCTTCTAACAGAACACAATTTGATAACATACTTTCTGCAAGCAGTGTCTATTCTAGGAGGGGGAATGGGGGGATTCACTCATATTTTTGAGAATTCCCGTTTTTTTTTTCAGAGGAAATGGGGAAAAATTTTTACACATAGAAAGAAGGATAAAGATCAACAAATGTAATAAAATTTTCACTTTTCGATAAAAAATCCCCCCCTGTTTTTCAAATCCTAGAAGAGACACTGTGCAAGTATAATTCACAACAAGGCTGGTACTGTCACAAAATATTACAGATGCCTAGTCTCTTGATAGTAATTTTACATTAAAATCCCTCAATTCATGATGACTACAAGATCAATACTTACAACTTCATTTTTTTTAATTGACCTTGGACTTTTGCATAATACATCCATTAATGCTCACTGTTAGCGCTACACTATAGATGCATCAATAAAAAAGTGACACTTTTTAACTGTAAACCATTCCTATTTTAGATATGTGATAAAAAGAATATAAAAGTCATGAATATTCAACTTTATTGAACTTGTTGAATAAAAATATTATGTGAGCCTCTGGCGAGCATAATATGATTTTATTAAACTTGTTCAATAAATTTAGTATTTAAATCAACACTCATTCAATATCTTTTTATGTAACTAACCCACAACACTGATCTAAAATGAAGCTGACAACACACTCACCTCTCTAATAATTCTATCATATGATCGTTCATTAGGCCACCATAACACTTTAAACTTTTTATCAGGTTACATACATGGGTCTTTTCATATTTCCCAAATGTTATTGAATCTACAATTGCTGCCTGTTCCAGCTTCAGTAACAGAAACTAAGGAAAATAAAATTCAAAAATCAATCTAGATTTATTTCTTCCAATGAACATGACATTTTTTATTCTTTTTTTTTTCTCTCTTTTTGACATATACCATTACCAATCCAATGTAATATAACACAAGTGTACTTGAATTATATGTACTGTCCTACACTAGGCTACTTTTCCATAAATAAATGCCAAAGTTTGCACATAAGTCAGTGGTGGAATAGACAAAAAAAAATTATAGCACTAAAACAATATTACATGACTTGTAAATCTAATGTCACCAAGAAAAACATTTGACTCAAACATAATAATCAAAAGTCTCAATAGTCTGTATATTTAATGTGGCTATAAATGTAAATATTATAATATTAACCTGTGGAGGATGATTAGAATCTGATGACCATCTGGAAGATTGATCAGCTGGTTTGTCAACATATATATTTCTGAAAATAGAAGAAAACTTGCATAATTAAATTTAAGAACAATAGTTACCACATAAATAAATGTTTTGTAACATACTGTTTAACCAGTATTTTTTTGTATTTCAATTGATAGTTTAGTTCAACTTTTTTAGGGCCCATTATTGGCGTGAATTAAGTTGCACCTGTTCAATACGCACAAACCCCAGCAGGTTGACTTGTTGTTGAACATTGTCAAAATATCCAACCGGACACATGGCTGAATTATTTGATTATTACAATATTTACAACTTTTTAACAACAAATTATAATACATATGCCTTTTCAAATGCATTTTCCACCATACAGTCATTCATGAGATTAATCTACCCATGTCTCAAAGAAAAGCAGCAACTTAAGAAGAACCAACCATATAGCATGCATCCTGGTTCAGAAACGGAAACAATGGGGCAAACATAAAGCTAGGATTGGTTAGACAGGTAATTAAAGAAAGTGTTTCATAGTCTGCAGTCTTTATACTTTCTACTTTATAGACAGGTTGACTGATGACATCACAAACATCTGCTTAAGGAATTAAGCAGATTTTTCGGCAAAAAGAGCCAATATTTATAAATATGCATTACATAGCAGTGCTCAAAATTTTAAAATTCTAATAACTTTTTATTTGTGGATCTGTTTTTAGAATCTTATAGTTATACCACTTGAAAGCTCTTTATATTGACAATTTTTAAATATACACAGATTTTCATTTTTGGATTAAAAAAAAACTCTGCTATTTTAACTGCTGTTTCAATAGTTTTCTAGCACCAAGTATAACCTTTTACCAAGAAAAAAGGAAAAAATTTGAAAAATTTGAAAAATTTTTAATGTGAAAAAATGAGTTTACAGACTTTTCTAATGATATAAAATATTAAGCTGTTTTATGAAAAATAAGTTTGTAATTATTATAAATAAATATACATATAAAATTACTATATTTTACATTTTACCAGCCACCATTTTATTGCAAACCATTCACAAATTACCTGTATTTCGTTACTATTTACAGATTTAATATGGGGGAAGTGTTGGCCTGCCCAGCTTTAGAGTACATGTGTATATTTAAAAGGAAATCAAATAAAAAACTTATTAAAATTAAAAAAAGATATAGTTTTTTATACCTATCTGTGAAATTTTCAGTGTCATTTCTAGTTGGGCACTGCCATTTTTATGTAACTCTATGATAATAGGTGGGGTATTCCGATAAAGGAGCAACCTCAACAATGTTACGTTTTGTCTTATTAATAACATCCAGGGTTTGTATCGATTTATTCAGGGAATATACATAAACACATACAATATTATCACATATGATATATCATCTTGTATACAGTTTTTTAAGCTTGAAGCTTTGACAACAAAGTGAACAATTTTGGGTCGAGGAGATATATCCAGTTTTGTCTGGCGGATATCTTCTACATGCTGCAATGCAAAGATGGATTTAATTATTATTTGATACAAATGTTCGCAACCATGAGACATGAAGCAGGTCCCTTGGTATACACAGGGTTCTCGGGGACGCTTATTTCGGCGTCCCGGTACGCATGTTCAGTTTATTACAGCTGGACGCAAATATTTCAGAGCAAGGATTCCACGTACGCTTAATTCTGCCTGGGGACGCATAAACATTTCCGATTGTTTACAACCACAAATACACAAATACGTCAGCACGTGTCAGTCTATAGGTAGGCGGTCCTATGCACATCGACCCGTGAAGCGATTAGCCAATCAGCGATAACGCTTCCGATCATTATCACGCAATAGTAATCAGACTAATGTATACACGCGCTGTACATGTAATTACCAGATACAACACAAGGTGACAATTTTATATCTTTGATCAACAGTTGATTGGAAATTAGTAAATTTTACCGACAAAAGGATAAAATTATCGACTATTTACGCCTCAAGTTTAAAGACTGTTTTCTCAAATTACAAATGAGTGTAATTTTGAATGATTGTCGAATATTTTCGGCATTTTCTAGGCACAATTTTGCTTTAGTTTCATTCTTGCAAAAACGTTCTATAAGAGTATTAAGAATTTAAGATATTGTGCCGAAATGCCAGGACAACAAACCAAAATACACATATGCTTTTCTTTGATATTTAGATTCTATCTGAAAATTGATCCCGAACATCGGCGATTTCACATTCGCCAGAAACCCTAAAATTTCGCAAAAATTCTCAGTTTCCAATCCAAACATGTGAATGAATTGTTCCTTTATTATATAATCAACATTAAATCTTTAAATATCGATCTTCAATTTGCCCTCTTTTGAAGATATTTGCTAAAATAATTGTCGATCGGATGAATCTCTTACACACTGTGTGAAGCTGTACACGATTTTCCTATTCATTCCGCTAAACGCTGCCTATATACATTTACGTTTTTTTTACAAATATAAACTTTTTGTCTTTAGAGTGGACTTATTTAACCAGAATAAAATTTGATTTGGTATAAATGTGAAAAAAAAACACAAAAAAAAAAATGATTTCCATGTGTTGATGCATTATAATGAAATAATTTCATAGTAAATATTAACAACAAAACAATAATTAATAATACTATGTAGTTCAGAGTTTTTTTTGAATAACATTCAACTTTGAAAGTCTCTTGAAGATTCAAAATATCAGCAATGCTATTGTGAGCATTGAATGACAAATCTATAAACATATTAATTGCGACGCGCTTTTGGACTCCAACTTTTTCAGGGTTGGGAGTCCATGGACCGGTACAAGTCAACCCGGCCCCAAGTCAACCCGGCCTCAAGTCAGCCCGGCCCCAAATTGGTCAACCCGGCCCCAAACCAATGTTATTTCTGGTCAACCCGGCCCCATTTTTTTAAATTATTTTTTTGCTTTAAAATATAAACACTTATCAAGAAATAAATAAAAATTAACAACAAAAACAACAACAAAAGTTTAACGGTGATATCTTTTATTATTTATTTTATATAAAAACTATCAATATTAACAAACAAGCAACACATGCATAGTTTACTGTTTTTACCGTCGCGAAAATAAGGTGACGTCTGTCTTCAACCTTAACCCTTCTACGATAGAAGTATTAAGAAAAAACTAAACTTTTTTATTGACAAATCATGGAAAAGAAACCTTAATGTGTTCAAATCTGACATTACTATGTTATTGTATGTTAAAAAAAGAAATGACCAAAAGCACACTAAAGTGTTTCCATTAACAGTTTTTAAGTAAGATTAATTATAGAGATGCTGCCATCTACCACAGGTATCGCAGGTCACTGCCTCCTGTCTGTCACGCACAATATATCCACAATCAATACAGTTATCAGTCATAATGACATAAAATGATTAAACACAAAACACTATCAATTTTTCAAACACTTAGTAATATTCCAATACTTTTTTACACAGTAAATATTCTTTGAAAATAAGTTAATAAAATACGAAACAAATATTAATTATACTGATGAAAGTATTCAATAAAAACATTCAAATGAACTGAATAAAAGATTGTTGTAAACTTAATTTATACAAACCTTTTAACTTGAAATTCTATGCATTTCTTCCTAATTATCGCATTAACACTTATGAAACCATCTTTAATTTACATCGAATTAAAAAGATTTGTTTTCACAGCTATACCTTTTTTGTTAATTGATTGCTTTAAGCTGTTTCATTATCACATCTGAAATAATGTTGAGTTACATATAATTGTTGATGTTATATAATTATTCATTATCACTATTGCGTATTAAAGTCTTAATCGGCGCAATTAATTTTACCAATTTGCGTTTTTTTATTATTGTTCTATAGTTAATAATATTCAATTAATAATTTTATTCCATCATACAACAAAATGACCTCAATAGTTTTCTTTGAAAAATACATATTTTGGGGCCGGAATGACCGATTTTGGGGCCGCACTGACCAATTTTGGGGCCGCATTGACCAAATAAAAATACTGTGGGGCCGGATTGACCAATTTTGGGGCCGGGTTGACCAATTTTGAGGCCGGGTTGACTTGGGGCCGGGTTAACTTGGGGCCGGGTTGACTGTAATTCCCATGGACTCCATGTTTTAAAGTCCTAGTGAGAACCCTGATACAGTATTGCACTGATACATGCAAGATTTACCTGGATTTCTAACCATTACACCTCTAGTTAGGTGGGAGGTGGGAAACACTGAAAGTGTCATTTAAATCCCAAGTGTGTTACCCAGGATAGAAACCGGGACCTCAGGAGTGACAGTCAGTGGTCTAACCAACTGAGCTATCCTACACTTTATGTTTAAACTTTAAAACAGTTAACATGATATCCCAGTCATCGAATTTAGCACTGGCCCAATGGCCAGTAAAAATTTGTTTCGGGCCACTGAAAATATTAAGCAAATTTAGTTAAATATATAGTAGAATAAATTCAAAACTGGAATTCGGTCCAGTAAATTCAAAATCTTAAATTCAATGACTGATATCATGAAGATAATATATGCAAACGACTCTCAACCAACTATCAGGGAAAGCACTTAGTCTCCTAGACATGTTTCAAAGCCGATTGCTGCTTGTTAAATCTATTCATCACTAATACAACGATTTCTTGAAAATCCTACAAATTATTCAAAAAATTATCATCGTGAAAACGCATGACATTTCAAATTTGCAGATACAAATCGGGAGATACATGTACATGGCTGTTAGAGTTTTTTAACATATTTGTTTTATTAGTGCTTACTCACTCTGGAATATAGTTATAAGAGTAACTAGACCATTTATGAATATTGAATTTTAACGTCGCTATTTTGAACGCCATTTTTAAATCCAATGAATTAACGACTTACGTGATTTATCGTTGTCATCACGAGACAGAGACGGGACATTCGTGTTACAGCGTAAGAAGAATGAAAGTTAAAACATTTTCTGCGGAAGGCAAGTTTTAAAACTTTAATGATAACAGAACAGACCGTTTTGATAATTTAAATGAATCAGTTTTTAATCACTTTTAGCCTGCAACATTTTTGTTTTTCTGGACGTTCTTTAGGGATTTTGTTTTTCTCTATTTTCTAATATTAATCAACATTCAATGATTATAAATGCATGGCGTAAAATAGTCTCCTGTTTTCAAAGAAAAAGATTGACACGTATGTTCAAACAAATAAAATCAGAACATATAGACCTCTGTTTGGCCACGGATTTATATTAATATAAATCCATGGTTTGGCCATAGATTTTTATCCGTTTTTTTTTTTTTTTTTTGACACACTATCCTTTTTTATTTTTTAAAATATAAATGCGTGCGCATATTTTGAGCTGATTTTTAATATTATAAATGATCAGAGACCTTTTCTTAAGTACAGTTATATAACGCTCCATGAAATTATTTAAATGATTCATGAAAAAAATAATCAGTCACGTTTGCTATATATAACGTATGCTTTAAGAATGATTAGCTTACAAACCACGTGCCCCTCCATGTACCACAAAAAGGTCACGTGATCCCCATATTGCAATCCAATAGAATGAATTATTAAAACAAAGGTTTTCATACTACTTTTCAACATTCTACATAAATATATCGTAACATTTTCAATGAACTTATATATGTTATTTGGGTTTTGGATTGATACATGTGGATATACACTTAACAAATCTTATAAGTTTGCATGTATAAAATGGTCTCATATGTATGTCAATTTTAATACGATCATGCTCAAATTTTCAATTTATACAGTTGAGAGACATGATATGATATTTCATTTATTAAACATCATGAGAAACACAAATTTAATTAACCTTTCCAATAATTGTGATAGTGCGTTATAAGCCAATGTCGCAAAATAACTGTATCATTGAAAATTATTCTAATATTGTATCCCCACCCTGACTGCTAATTACAGCCTGGTAGCGTTGTGTAATGTTTGTGATCAAATCTTTTTCATAATATATATATTGGGGTAGATTTATTCACTGTTGGACAATTTTCGAATATACGTAGGGGGTGGCTTGTGGCACCGCACCCAAACTTTTTTGAGGTGGTTCATTTCACCCTGCATAGCTTCTGTCACATTTAAGTCTAGAGAATTTGGTATTAATATTCCATTAAGTTGATAAATGTTCAGAAAGACTGTTGGCGCACTGGGTATGTACTTGTAAGACATCCTGTAGAAACTGCATGCATATGTTCTTCTTTAGACAGTTTGAAGCTCATTGTATTGGTTATGATCGGCGCTGAAATTGCCATAAAAGAAAACATTGTTAGTGACATTTAGTCTTGCTGAACTTCCATGTGGAGTGCAACAGACCATAGCCCAGTAACGGGCAAATATTTAATAAAATAAAATCATCCCCAAAATTAAATGAAGAACTTTATTGCAAGGAGCTACCAAAATGGACGCATTCCTGTACATGAATCAAACAGCACAGAAACACGTTCCTTTGAGTTCATGACAATATTTTAAACTTTATCTGTCTATGTTAATAACATGCATAGTTATTTCACAGACCTGTCTACACACTCCATATATTTCTAAATTCATTAAAAAAACTTGTAACCATGATCAAGTGGCAATAAATTTGAGATTCAGCATTTTCATGATATTGTTATATTTGCCTTCATACCATATTCAAGTTCAAATAAAATCTGTAAATGAAGATTAAAGGACTATCCCTGTACACTTTCATCCCAAATAACTATGCAGGCATATTTTTAAGAAATACTGAAAGCAAATTTGATGGTTGACTACGCACAATAGACCTAAGTTTCTCACATGCCGCACATGAACAATTGCAAATGCTCACGCTGGTTCTTGTCTTATTTATATTATTTCATAATTTTACATTTGCATAATTTACCATTGATTAAATTCAACCATTTTTAAAGATATATTTGTTTGAATTTCTATTTGCTGTGGTTTTCTTTTTTACTACCTAAAATTACATAATTATTATTTTTATTAATCTGTTCATTTCCATATGGGCTTTTGTCTACCTCACCAAAATTGCAATAGGTTTAGTCCTGTCGATCTGCTCGCTTCAATATCTGTACATAGACCATGTGCATAGATGCCCTGGTGTGTTTTGTCCTGACACTGTCCTTTGTACATCTCTGCGTTGGATACTACCAGACCTGGGGTAATCATTAATTGTAATCATGGAATTTTTAATTGATTACATGATTACACTGTAATCATCGAGTAATTGATTACCTTGCCCAAAATTGATTGATTTAATTGTAATTAATCAATTACAGCTAAAATTCAGTCAGTAATTGTGATTACAATTTGATTGACATTGATTACTTTCAGATTTAACAGTAAACTATTTTAATTCAAAGTATGCCTTTATTTTACATGATACATTTAACTTTTGTTTTACATTTATATAGTAAAAGCCCTTAATTAAGACCATCATATTGGCTGAACCAAAGTGGTCTTAATTGTGGGGTGGTATTAATTGTGACTATTCTTATCATTGCTTACATTTACATACTTTAAAATGACCATGGTCTGTTTTAGTCATTTTGTATAAAAAAAAAAAACAACAAAAACATGTGTCTTATGCTAAAAACAGTATAAAGACACTATAAAAGTACGCTTTGATATCGGATGAGAGGAAAACATATTTCTGAAGAAATTTAACATAAAATTCTCTTTGGTCAGATTTCAATATCATTTATAATATGAAGTACATAAATCACCTTTCAAATAAAAATTAATTCTTCACAAAATAAATTTGCAACATAAAACCACTCTAAAATTTACTTTCTCACTTTATTTCATACAATGATGTCCCAATAATAACAGTTTTTCACACCTTGTGAAATTAAGTGTCATGCAAAGCATTCAAGCAGATCATAACAACAAATTTAAGATCTAGATAGATGTTGACTTTAACATCAGTGGTCTCAATAGTTGGGTCAAATTAAGAATAAAGCAAAGAATTTGGACTGAATCAGGTGGTCTTAAAAGTGGATTAGCGGTTGTTCTTAATTCTGGATCATGTCACCATTGACATAAAGAACCTTGTGAAATAGTCTTATTAAGGGGGTGGTCTAAATTCAGGGGTGGTTTTAAGTAGGGATTCTACTTTACATTGAATGTAATCAATTATCAATCAATTACTCTCTTAAAATAATTGTAATTCAATTGATTACAGAGGCAAGTGTGAGTAATCAATCTTAATCAATTACAATAAAATCTGAAAGTAATTGTAATTCAATCAATTACTGATCAATGTAATCATCCCCAGGTCTGGATACTACTTCACCATTTATTGCCATTTTTTCTCTTGAGCAGACTCAATTTTTAAATGGTGTATGCAATTTTCTCTTCATGTTTTTATTCTTATTTACATAGCTGTGGATGGCATTTAAATTATAGGTTGTCATCATTTTAGCTGGCATAACTTTGAACTCTACCGATTTCTAGCAGTTTCCGGTCCCAAATGGCACCTTTCAGCAAATTAAATAAAAATCTGTCTACGGTAGAGTACAAAACTTTGACAGAACAAAGTTATATGCCTGTTCAGCATAACTTACAATGTTGCTCTTTTACATTACTTTTTAATTAAAATATAGACCTGAATGACACACCTTTAAATCTCACTTTCATTCAAAATTTCATAGCAATTTTTCGGACATTTTTTATTTTCAATATAATTCAGTACCAGTAAGAAATATTAAGATGATTTCATTTAAGAAATAGAACTTCCCAACCTCCTCCTTGTTTTCTGCAGTTATATTGCTCAAAACTATCGATTTTCTTGGAATGAGGTCTCAGTTATTGTGCATGGGTATTCAACTAGAATTACCCTGTAAACATGCAGTGGTTGGGCCAACCACGGAAAATCGTCATAGGAAAATCGTTGTTGGGCCATGGTTGGCCTAACTCTAATTAACATGTACTATAAATGCAGTTGTTGGCCCAACGTCGAACCAACCATAAAGTTACGCCAGCGATATTTCTGCATTGGCCCAATAACGATAAATATGTACTTTAAAACAGATGTTGGGCCAACGTTTGACCAACGATACATTTTCGTCAAATATATTACAGCACCTGACCCAAAATTAATTTTTTTAAAGACAGATATGCATGTAGATATTTTACTGTATATAAACAGTACACTACAATGAGTAAAGACTAAAGTTTATAAATTTTTTTGAAGCCATGTTCAATATTGTCACATTCAAGAAATACTCATATAAATTAAATGAGAAATGTAAGAAATAATTACTGTGTGAGTCTAGAAATGACCAAAGCCCGGGCTATGCAGTAGTAGGGGATGTATATCTATAGATCTATAGAAATCTTAAAAATCTGATGTATAATCTAAGGCAATTATACATGTGCTGGAATAACCATCCTTAATGTTTACAATAAACCTCCGGAATCTTCCACTCTAAACTCTAATTAACCTCTGGTTATGTAATCAATGAATGGAAATAGGATCAGTTTGGCACTACCCATCCTTTCCCTGACTTGAGTTTTCGAAGCTGCGTGGACGTGTTTACAGCTAGATTTAAATAAATTTGTATTAGACTGCAATTTCTCAACACTGAAAAATGTAAGTAGATCTAGAGTTTTTTACTTTAATCTTTTAAAAAAAAACCCTTCTCATATAGTAATGTATTTAAACCTGCATTTAAAACCTGTTATACTATCCACGTGACCAGGTCATGTGATTAATACAAAATGGCGGATTGGTAAAGATGTTTTCAGGTAAACAAGCCAGAATGAATTTGATTTTTGTAATGAAATTAAAACCATTTAATTATATCAATGTTTATCAGCTTAAAATATGATATGTGCATAGTTTTACATCTGAATTTATTGTGATAACTGCAAAAAAGTTGCAAGTTAGTACAAACTGACAAGCTACAATTAGCACTGCAGTATTAAGCTCATACAATCTGCTCTGAGTATAAATAGGTAATTATGATTGATTATGAATTATTTGCAAATTTCTGCTTTGTTACTAGACTTTTTAACAGTTACACTACTCATTTTAGTAGAGTGTATACGAAACTTTGTGTAAATTTAATTTGAAGTGTAACTTCGCATTAAACACAAATTACTTTACCCGACTGCAAAAATTGTTTTTATTTCATTTCAGACAGCAAATTTATGTCTAATTGGAGGAGATAGTGTGGAGAGCAATGTTCGCTGTGTTATGTCTCACACTTTGTCTCAGGAAGTTGCCCTAGAATACAACTGGGTTGGAAAAGGCTCGAAAAAACCATTCGAAAAACTTAGACTTAAAAAAGTCATATTAGGTTTGTATTTTTACTTTTTCAAAGGTGATTTCACCGGTGCTAGAAAATTATTTTACACCGTGGGTGTAAGATATGACTCTTGTGTTGTAAATGATCATCATAACTCTGTTTGCATTTTGACAGAATTATGCCCCTTTTTAACTTAAAAATTTTAGGTTAAAATTTTTAATTATGTCAAATATCTCTGTTACTATTAAATCTATTGACTTGTAATTTAAAATATTTCTTTACTATCAAAGTCTTATCCCCTTAGCTCTATTTGCATTTTTTCAGATTTATGTGCCTTTTTACTAGTAAATTCTAATTAGTAGTGTATATTTAAATAAAATCAGTAAACTGTATAAATTTCAGATGCTGTAAGAGGAAGTAGACAGGGGTCTATGAGAAGAGGCAATGAAGGAGTCGCTAAGATATGCCAAGGATAGGGAAGGCGGGCGGAGGAAGAGATTGACTAAAAAGTTGCAACAACAAAGATAAGAAAATGAAAATGATATGTGAACAACATTTAGTAATAAATTGTAGTAATTAGTATATTTTTTATTCTTTTATGAAAACAAGGCATTGGGCCAACGAAGGGCCAATGTTTATTGTAGGAAACCAGTCAGTGGGCCAACGGGGGGCCAACAAGAAGAAGGGAAACCACTTGTTGGGCCAACAGAGGGCCAACGATAGGAAGGAAAACCAGTCATTGGGCCAATGGAGGGCCAACGATAAGAGCAGGAAAGCAGTCGTTGGGCCAACCATATACCAACCGTTGGCCCAACGTTGCCCCAATTAGCAAATTGACATTGGGCCAACGTTGGCATTATGTGTTGGGCCAACAAAGCAAATGTAATTGGCCCAACGTTGGGCCAACTACTGTCTGCTATCTGGGTACCCAGGTATTCTTCATTTTTGAATGTCGCAAGTTCTCTAAGGTAACTTTTAACAACAGGCAACTGTCTAAATATATAAATCGATGTACTATTTCAACTGCTGTGTTGCATAGAAAACAGATGTTTCTCTGATTTGATGAAGTAACATAGATGCCCTACTGGTAAAAGTAGACTATACTGGACGAAAATAATAAAGGGCCGGAAAACTGCTAGGGGCCGGAAACTGTTAGGAGCCAGTGTGATTTCAATATGAAATTCAAAATTATTTTATTGGAATTAAAATTGTTGTCAAACTTTATATTGATAAGTGTCGTCTCCTTATAAATTATATATACAGGCTCTAAAGTATATATTTGGCATGTTAAAATATATAGCTGTATTAGTTTTACTGTTAATTAATTAGTTCTACTGTTAATAGCTTACTAAATATTGAAGGAATAGTTAAACTCAAGATCCGAAAGAAATTGTTTAACACTCTTTATACAAAACTTTGTTTTATCAGGTAGTTGAATAGACCTTTTTACGACGCGGTCCGTTGCTATGAAAAATCGACCAGAATTAGAATTTTCTCGCGCATGCGCAATCTGCGTAGGGCAAAAAAATGCTTCGCCCTACATAGAAATATAGTAGAAGTTCATAGACAATTCCAAGTTAGTTCAAGGTAAACGGTAGAAAATTATATAAAATAGCTTTATATTTATTAAGTTAAGATGTGTTGTTTGGAAAAGATATAACACACATTTTATCTGCTTCTTCGCAATGCATGTTATTTTTAATAATGCACGTCACACAATTTTTCTCTTCTCAAAATCCATAAACATTGATCGGTATATTTAAAAGTTACATAAATTACCATTTTAATAAGCGTAACTGATTAACTATATCATGATATTTAAACGTCCCGGTTGAATGAACAAACGTTCGCGTGCCAATCTGTTTGGCACTTAATTGCCGCCTGACCAATCCAGTTATTCAAAGTATATAATATGCTTGATGTTTGATTGTGTAGTCTCAGTCATTTTTAATGAGTATGTTGCTAATATTTATTTCAAATTGCATACATTGTAATTCACTTCTTGGATAAAACAACATAAGTTATTAAGAATATTTTTTACAGAAAGTATGTTGATAATATTTCCTTCAAATTGCATAATTCACTTCTTGGTTAAAACATTGTAAGTTATTAAGAATATATTATTATGCAGTTTGAAGTCCTTTTATAGGGCCTAATTGTTTTTGTTTGAAATTGTGTGTAATCCTTATGCAGAATTGATATAAGGCCCCTGCACTATGGGTTTTTCATAAACTGTAGACTCGCCGTATGCGTTTTCCCCTTTGAAAAAAACAAGAAGAAAAAGAATAAGTCCAATATTAGATGACGCAAAATAAAATAGCCATACAGTACAGGTAGAACATATTCTTATCGATGATGTATAGTTAGTACGGTACATAAAATTTATTGGTGCGTGTATACTGAACATAATTCGATTATTCTAATAGGTTAAAACAACTGAACAGTGATCTACAGCGCATCTCTGTGCAATCAAGCAAACCATGTAAATAAAATGGAGGACATTACACTGATAGTGGCGGGAATCATCCTGTTATTTGTGCTCCTCTGCTCGACCATAGCTGGTTTTCTCTATATCAGTGGTGTTTTATATACAATAGATGTTGGAGCAGGTACCCCACCAATAGGACAGGCTGTGGTTGCCTACAAATTTGAGCAAGGGCCTTATAAAAATGCTGGAAGCTTGTTTACAGAAGTTTGCTGTGTTGCGCCTGACTACAAATGTCTGGGCATCTACTATGACAATCCAAACGAGGTGATTATATTGTATGCAAACAGTATGATTGGGTAGAAGATAGATTATACCATACTTCATGTTCGTAGAGACATTCACCAGATTCACTGTATAAGGATCTCAAGCCCATTATTTGACAAATACACATCCTGATAAAGTGCATTTACTTCTTCTTATGTTATATGTACTGGCATGCGAGCAGTTCCCGTACAAAAATCATAGTTACTTAATCATTATTTTTTATTATGCTCACTCACCAATATTTGAATGTTACACATCAATATTCGGCTCGTCACACAAATCATGGAAATTCCATCATGTTCTAAACATAGGATAACCCTTATTTATGAGGCCTCATATGGGGTACCGAAGTTATCCATTATTTTGTATGAAGAGAAGTAGTTCCCGTACATAAAATCTAACCCGTTATAATTATACAATTTTATTATATCGGACCTATTTTTCATTTACAATTGTTGACCAGACCATTATCTAAGAGATAAATAGATGTAATTCAGGAAATAGAGCGTAGACTAAACGCGGGTATCTATTACCCGGTACCGTTACCCCAACGCATTCATATGCAGTAACATGCTTGTATGCATGATATTTTACGCATAAAAGCTATAAATTTATTATTTAATATAGTAATATTGGTCAACATTCTAATAATTAAACAATTTTTCATCTCATTGCCTACTTATTTGTAAACAGGTGGTATTAGTGGAAAACCCTTTAACAAGCCTCACGTGTAAGTATTTTTGCGCATGCGCGCAAGGACGGAATCCCCCAGAGAAAACAAGGTCACGTTTTGACGACGCACAGGTGAAAGTGATTTAAAATGAGACTTTATATACGTACTGCCGAACTGACAATTAGATTTTGTCTCGTTTATGTATCTGCTTGATTTGAAATGAATTTTTGAAGAATGCAAGTAAAAATCAAGCGTTTAAATGAAAAATACGGGTACTGCTTCTGTACGGGAACTGCTCGCATGCCAGTAGCCTAAATCTATTTGGCGTAAACGGTTTGACCCATTTTACAAACTTTTTTTCCTACTGTCAAACCATTTGAAAAAGATATTGCCTTTCCAAAATTATCTTGATGTCTCTTTGACGAGTCTAATTACTAATTAGAATATTAGTTGGACTATTTCTAATGGTAATATGAAAAAGGCAAAGCCTCAAAGCGAGCTCGATGTACTTTTTACGTGAAATAGTATAAAATAATCGCTCATTTTTATTTCAAATGCAGTGACGAGTGCGTGTGACGTCACACGTACTGTGTTAAATATGGCTCCGCCCCTGTCGTGAAATGAATAAACGAGTTTTGAAAACGTTGATAAAACTTTGTTTATTTTATTTCACTCTATAATTTTTCAAGCAAAATAAAGATTATTTAAAGTGAAATAAATGTAAAACTTATAACGTTTGCGACATTAAAATAGCGTACATGATTTGTTTGTTTTGCACGTGCTGTTTGGCGCTATATTGTGACGTCACGTAAACAATACTTTAAACGTCTGTACAGCGTTAACGACTGAATAAAAGATATTAGTGTTCGGATTCATTTTCTTAGTAAGACCATTTTCTTTCATTCTAGATAGTTTTCACAATAAAATTCAACAAAAAAAAATGTTTTTATTTATCAGATTTCAAACAAAATGGCGCCTTCGATTTTCATTTTTTATACACAGCTTCCGTTATTCTGGTTCCCTGTCTAATTATGGTTCCCATAGACGTGCGCGGGTTACCAGTCTACACATCCGTTTTCAGTCAGAATTCCTCAGTTTTTATCGTTATCTTTAAATTCGAAAGGTTGCGATGTGTCCAATTCGGTACTTTGGACGAAAGTTTTCAAAACCATCACTTAGCAGGTACTCGCGTTACCGTAAAGCTCGCTTTGCGAGCAGGCCCTTCGGGCCAGCTCGTCGAGCTCGCTATCAGGATGTTTCACATCCTGGACATTTCGGCCCAGGTCTTTTTGGCTTCTTTTTTGTTTTAATATTATATACTGTAGAGATAATTCAGTATAGATATTTGACATGACCATTGTTGTTAAGGGGTGTTGGGTTTAAATGGGTACGGTCGGTTTTTAGCTGAAAACTGGTTAGAAAATTCAATAACCGATAACAGAGATTAGTTTTTGGCAAAGAGGCGAAAAGGTTTTTAATTGGCTCTAATTATTATCTTTGTGATTTATAACAAGAAAAGGCATTTTTTTGTCTCGACAATGTATTTTTTTCTGATCTGATTGAGTATGTTACAACGCTGAAGGAAAATATTTATTACATGTATATATATCAGATATGTAATTTTTGAGTATAACAAAATAAGAACAAAATGTCGAATTTTGTCATAAAAAAACAAAGAATCTGAAAATAAAAATCTAAGGATTTTATTAGTACAGTCGTTTAACTTTTACACGGTTATTAGGTCGCCGTTTAAACGGATAGTATTTTTTCTAACCGTGACACCCTTAATGTTGTTACAACTTGATTGTTCAAGTGATTGGATTAACTTGAGTGATAATTAAGATCAATCAAGATAATTCAATCAGTTGGCTAATCAAGTGGTAACAATAAAAGTCAAAGACATTAAAGGTGATAAATCAGTGTGCAGTAAGGCTGCACCATCTTGTGTCAAGTCATTCTGAATTTAATTCCATGAATAAATACTTTACTGGTTGGGGACCACCAAAACCGGACAACCACCAAACCCGGATGGCCTCAAAAATGCTAAATTTAGAATTTTCTTTGTTCAGTTGTGGTCAGTCATTTTTATATCAACAATAAATGCATGTTTCTTCTAAAATTAAGTAAAAAACTAAATGTATTTATTTCAACCCCCGTAAATGGTAATATTTTAATGTCTATTTCAAGAATGTTGACATAGAAATTTGGGGGTCAAAAAAACAGGCTGTCAACCAATTCCTATATTCCTATAAAACTCCTATATTTTGGGTCAGAATCCTATATTTTAAAAAGCCTCCTATTTTTCCTATATTCTCCTATATTTTGAATATTTTTCCTATATTTTTAGCTCACCTGTCACAAAGTGACAGGGTGAGCTTTTGTGATCGCTTTTCGTCCGGCGTTCGTCCGTCCGTCCGTCGTCCGTCCGTAAACTTTTGCTTTAAATGACATCTCCTCATTAACCACTGAGCCAATTTCATCCAAACTTCACAGGAATGTTCCTTTGGTGGTCACCTTTAAAAATTGTTCAAAGAATTTAATTCCATGCAGAACTCTTGTTGCCATGGCAACCGAAAGAAAAATCTTTAAATATCTTCTTTTAAACAACCCTAAGAGCTAGAGCTTAGATATTTGGCATGAAACAACTTCTAGTGGATGTCTACCAAGTTTGTTCAAATAAAAGCCCTGGGGTCAAAATTGGCCCCGCCCCAGGGGGTCATTGATTTTCCCTATATGCATATAGTAAAAACTTAAAAAATCTTCTTTTAAAGAACCCAAAGAGCTAGAGCTAAGATATTTGGCATGAAACATCTTCTAGTGAGTGTCTACCAAGTTTGTTCAAATAAAAGCCCTAGGGTCAAAATTGGCCCCGCCCCGGGGGGTCATTGATTTTCCCTATATGCATATAGTAAAACCTTAAAAAATCTTCTTTTAAAGAACCGTAAGAGCTAGAGCTTAGATATTTGGCATGAAACATCTTCTAGTGAATGTCTACCAAGTTTGTTCAAATAAAAGCCCTGGGGTCAAAATTGGCCCCGCCCCTGGGGGTCATTGATTTTCCCTATATGCATATAGTAAAACCTTAAAAAATCTTCTTTTAAAGAACCGTAAGAGCTAGAGCTTAGATATTTGGCATGAAACATCTTCTAGTGAATGTCTACCAAGTTTGTTCAAATAAAAGCCCTGGGGTCAAAATTGGCCCCGCCCCAGGGGGTCATTGATTTTCCCTATATGCATATAGTAAAAGCTTAAAAAATCTTCTTTTAAAGAACCCAAAGAGCTAGAGCTAAGATATTAAGCATGAAACATCTTCTAGTGAGTGTCTACCATGTTTGTTCAAATTAAAGCCCTCGGGTCAAAATTGGCCCGGCCCCGGGGGGTCATTGATTTTCCCTATATGCATATAGTAAAAACTTAAAAAATCTTCTTTTAAAGAACCATAAGAGCTAGAGCTTAGATATTTGGCATGAAACATCTTCTAGTGAATGTCTACCAAGTTTGTTCAAATAAAAGCCCTGGGGTCAAAATTGGCCCCGCCCTGGGGGGTCATTGATTTTCCCTATATGCATATAGTAAAAACTTAAAAATTTTCTTTTAAAGAACCCAAAGAGCTAGAGCTAAGATATTTAGCATGAAACGTCTTCTAATGAGTGTCTACCAAGTTAGTTCAAATAAAAGCCCTGGGGTCAAAATTGGCCCCGCCCCAGGGGGTCATTGATTTTCCCTATATGCATATAGTAAAAACTTAAGAAATCTTCTTTTAAAGAACCATAAGAGCTAGAGCTTAGATATTTGGCAAGAAACATCTTCTAGTGAATGTCTACCAAGTTTGTTCAAATAAAAGCCCTGGGGTCAAAATTGACCCGCCCCAGGGGGTCATAGATTTTCCCTATATGCATATAGTAAAAACTTAAAAATTTTCTTTTAAAGAACCCAAAGAGCTAGAGCTAAGATATTTAGCATGAAACGTCTTCTAATGAGTGTCTACCAAGTTTGTTCAAATAAAAGCCCTGGGGTCAAAATTGGCCCCGCCCCAGGGGGTCATTGATTTTCCCTATATGCATATAGTAAAATTTTAAAAAATCTTCTTTTAAAGAACTCAAAGAGCTAGAGCTAAGATATTTAGCATGAAACATGTTCTAATGGGTGTCTACCAAGTATGTTCAAATGAAAGCCCTGGGGTCAAAACTGGCCCCGCCCGGGGGGTCATTGATTTTCCTTATATGTGTATAGCAAAAACTTCTTTGAAAAAACCCAAATAGCTAGAGTTTAGATATTAAGCATGAAACATCTTTAAGTAAATATCTACAAAGTTTGTTCAAATAAAAGCCTGGGGGTCAAAACTGGCCCTGCCCCAGGGGTGTCATTGTTTTTAACTATATGTGTATAGTAAAAACTTTAAAAATCTTCTTTTAAAAAACCCAATGAGCTAGAACTTAGATGTTTAGCTCGAAACATCTTCTTATGGGTGTCTACCAAGTCTGTTCAAATAAACAAATAAAAGCCCTTGGGTAAAAATTGGCCCGGGGGTGGGGGGGGGCCCTATATACAGGTGAGCGACCTCAGGGCCATCATGGCCCTCTTGTTTTTAAAATGTATTGCCGAGGAATTCAAAGAGATTTAAATTTTGGTACTGCTTTTGGCCTTTTGTATTTTACAGGTAAGAGAATGTCTATGCCTGCATCAGCATCACATTACTATGCTCAAGGCTGCTGTGCTCCACATAACAATCTGCATGGTCACCATGAAAAGCAGTGCATCAGTATGTCAACTTTAATTCAGGTGACAATTCAGATGATGGTCATGCATTGCTGTAACTTTCTGACGGGATGCTGATGCTGTGGTTCAAAGCTAATGCAGGCTGTCCGCTGTGTCCCTAAAAAAATCCTAATTTTTTCAGTTTGGCTAAAATTCCTAAAAAAGTGAAAAATTCAAAGGGAATTCCTAAAGATGCCCTATTTTTTCACTGAAATTCCTCATTTTTTATCTTTTGTTATAAACATACTTATAACTTGTAACCCTGTCAAAGTAATCACGGACATAACTAAGTCGACCATGTTTTGAACATGGTCAAAAATGATTTGGCCATGATTTGCCAACTCAAAATTGATGACATTGAAATGGTTTCATTTTAACTAAAAGTTACTAACATTGCTATTTCATAATCAAAGCAGTTGTTGATAAACATGTTGACAGCTTGATAATCATGTTGACATCAAAAATACTACCATATCATGGTCCTGAAACTCAAATCATAACCATAAGAGTCCACGTATTCTGGAATATTTTGACACTCTTTTGCCAACTCCAGATATCTTGAATTTTATGTTTGTTCATTTTATCCAAATTTCTGAAGTGGTCCATTTATATCATATCATATTTAAAAATGATCATTATGAAGCTGTTTTTAACACAATCTTAATTAAAAACATGTATAAATCGTTGTCAAAAATTAATGTACAATTTGTTTACTCACAACTCTTTTATAATTATAATTTGGCAGTTCAGTAATATAATGCTCATTTCCAATTACAATGTACACACATTTTGCAATTATGTGATCTAGATAAACTGCAATTGAATGGTCTGTGTGATGAACTTTTTTGATGTGCAGTTCTTTGTGTTGATTATAGATGCTTCCCATTTATTCAAATGACTGTACTAAGGCAAATGCCTTTTTCCTTTCTACTTCTACAAAAAAAAATTCATTTGTCCATATTCAAAAGCTGCATTGTGCAAGAATTTTACTGTATAAGAATTCCTTTTAGACACTTGTGGTTATAACATTCCCAAAACATAGGTAAAACATGTTCTTTTTGACATGTTCAGCCACAGCAAAAATATGGTTTGAACATGATTTTACTAAGACCTTTTCCCCAGGGGAGGCAGTTGACCTGTAAGTCCACACTGGTAGCACCTTTGCTCTAACTAAACTACAACATTATTTGTGAGTTACTTTTGTGTCAAATATGCAAAGATTAGCCCTCATCATGGTCCTTTGGGACCTGAGTTTATTTAGTTATAAAATTACAAATTTTAGCCCTAAAATTTCTATTACGTACCCTAAAATTACAAATTTTAGCCCTAAAATTTCTATTACGTACCCTTACATTCCTAATTTTAGCCCTAAAATTTCTGAAATATTACCGTAAAATTCGCCCTAACTTTATGTTGGAAGGTGCTGGACAGCCTGCTAATGGTGTCCTTCACTTATACGGTAGACATTTTATTGTAGAAACAGCATGTGTAAAAGTAAGACTAATTTACATTTATATAAGCATTGGTAAGTTAAACAATTTAAGTTGAAAACTCCTATTTTTTGCCTCAAAATGGTCCAAAAACTCCTATATTTCCTGCAAAAATATTCCTATATTCCTCCTTTATTTTGGATAAGACCTGGTTGACAGCCTGAAAAAAGCAGTGCCTGACCTCATATACCAGCTATAATCATTTGCAGAGTAAACATTAGAATATCCAAAACTTCAGCATTTGTTGCTGAAATAAATGTATTGTATATCATGTTAAAGTAAAAAATCAAAGCACCCAAGCTTTTATCTGAATTAAATCACGTCATGTACATATCTGTCCGGACACAATCATGGTACTGTAGTGTTGACAATTTAGGTAATTTTGATACCCTCCTTGTCGAGCCTCAGATATAAGAGTCAATACATTCAGAAATAAACAAACTAGTTTGTAAGTTAGGAGAAGAACCTAGCTGAACTGTGTAAATTTTTTTTATCTCTAGGTTAAATATTATGAAATCTGTATGGAAAAATGTTCAAAAAGTGTCCGGTTGATGGTCCCCGACCAGTATACTTTAATGATAGACTTTGAAAGAATATTTTGAAATCGTATTTTTGAATATAATATTTATGTAATTTAACCAACATCAATGTTCTAGTCAAAAAATGCCAAATATGCACAAATGTATGGGTTTTTTTTTAATAGATTGAATTCTTTTTATAAATAGTTAAATATATCTATTATTTTGAAAATTATGGAAATAAATTTAATAGTTCATTGGTAATATCACCAATTTGTTACAGTGAAGTAAATAATACCTTTATAAACCTTTATTAAAATATACCCTAATGCATTAGACATTTGGACATTGGACATTTCCCTAATCAGTTCTTATCTATTATATATCAACATATTATCGATAATCAAGGTGCAGCTGACACTGTATCAATATGATGTTACTTGTGAAGATGAAATTAAAGGGCTTTGTATTGGTACAAAGAGTAAAATCTGTAATACTCGCTATAAAAAATTGTAATATGCTTATAATTATGATAGTTTGACATTTTTGATAAGTTGCTTTGCCTTGAAAGTAAATTTCACATCTATAATTTAAAATTATTAATATACAATTACATGTATGTATTTATTTCAGATACCAGGTGATAAGTGTAGGTACATTGTAGGAGCCATTCTCAGTGAAGGCGGGGTGAAAGTTGAACAGGAAGTGCTGGATCGGATGAAATCTCAAGATTTTAAAATCATCGAACTACCTGCACTAACAAATTGCGTGAAGACGTCATTTCCATATATTAATTCATTTTCCATCATGATAGCTGTAATGAGAGTCTACCCAAAGATAAACAGATATATTAAGGTTTGATGTTAAAGTTATTTGGCTTTTATGTTTGATATTTATTTGAAATTTTTTTAACATAGACTATCATATGAAAAATTATTTCACATTCAATTTTATGCCATTTCCATTGAGTAATAAGTTACTCTCTTGTTCAGAATTGATGATTACACATAATAAATACATGTTTGCCTTTTCTACATAATGTGCCTTTAAGTATTATAGTATCAGTTTTTATATTTTTCAGGAGCACAAATTATGTGCTTATCCTATGCTCGAGATCTACGAGCCTACAGTTATAAACTTTATGGCACCTCTGTCACAGCAAGATCAATTCTTTGTTAAAGAAGCTCTCGATTGTATACCTGATGAATACAAAACAGAGGAAAATGATGATTCTTTGTTCGACATATCTGCCAGATCAAGTCCTGCCTCTAGCAGGGGCTCGCGTAGTGTATCATCATTTAGTCGTAGTTATGTTAGTAGTCGCCACGGTGACCAAACATTCACTGATGATGAGGAGTCCGATATGGATAATACAAATGATGCCGATGATGTTAATGAAAGTGTTCAAGATGATGAAGTGAGTTCTAGCATTGAGGTACGGGCATCTAAGGCGTGCACAAATCTTCTGGAGGAACATGATGATCATCTTACGAAGGAGGAGGAAGGGTTCAGGATTGCTGAAAAAGATGATTCCATTCAAGTTGGTGAAGAAAGTGGTATAAGCTTACATGATTCGGGTATAAGCTCTGGACGTACTTCCGCCATTCCTACAGAAGCAGAGAGTCTGTCAGATGTTCGAAGTCCAACTGAGGCCGATGGTAACGATTCATCATCGTCTTTTGAAGAAATTAACATGGAGACTGTAGAAAAAGAGATCATCCCTGCAGCAGAAAATATTGAAACAAGGGCCCAGTAATGATAAAATTATTTTACTATATGTCATTATAAAGGACTGTTTTTTGATTAGCATCAGTGTTATTTACACACCTGATATTTTCATGACATATGGTACTAGTATGATAGGACTCTTCTTTAGGGTGATTATAGCCAGAAGGATTAGTGATGCGCTGTACTACTAGAAATAACGCCATAGATAATTTTTTGTTCTTATTCTTGGGCTTTCATATTTATAATGCTATCATTTGGTTCGACCAAAGCTTGAAAAACACTGTAAAACTATTACTTTGAATGATCAAAGGTGAAGTTTTCATGATTATGCTCTAGAATCAAAATTTTTCTTTTGAGCTAAAAGAATGTTTTAATAGGAATTAAAAAGTAAGTGTATTATAAATGTAACTTGTTTTAATTAACTTGTCTTTGATATGTCCTTTCTCATTGTTGATTAAACTTAAAATTCATGAAGCACAAGAAGAGTTTTGTAATTGTTAATTTATTAAAAATTATAATTGTATATTTTATAATCATAATTTTCTAAATGTGGCCTAAAACCAAAAGCAGGGCACTCAAATAAATTAATACACTGAACTTTTTGTGAAGTGTTTTTTTAAAATCATTGTATATATTACCTGTATTGTTAAGTTAATTCAGTAAATATGTACAGATACCTTTACAACAAAACGTTTTATGTATATATACAGTATTATGATTAATTATGTAAAAGATTTGTTTCCATATCTCAGATGATTTTTTCCTTTGCATTTGTTGAGTAGTACATTCTTACATAGTCCTGTGACCGACAGACCTAATATTTGGTTTAAAGGTTACATCACAACTAGTAAATGACCTCTATTGAGTTTGATGTAATTGGGTCAAGGTAAATGTTTGTCAAGGTCACTGTGACCTTGACAAGGGTTTGTCAAACCAGGAAATAGAGTACAGTTCTTAAAATTGGAAGGTAAATGGTCATGGGAATTATATTAGATGACCACCATTGATTTTGAGGTCAGTTACATGCAGTCTAAGGTCAAAGTCACTATGACCTTGACAACAAAATATTGTTTATTTAAAAACTAAACAGAAGTATTGGCTACAGATCTAAGATATGGTTAGGAGGTTAGACATGACCTGTTTCATGTTGACCTGAACAAAGTTGTCAGAGTTCATGCAATATCTAATTGGTTGCTTTTTGAAGGGCATACTTGTTCAACAAATCACTTTTGTTGATTTTCTTTTTTTTTTCTTTTTTCCAATGAAAAAGTACATGTAGTTATATTGACCTTAAAAACTACATGTAGAACAGACAAAGTTTTGATTGATATTTGAATTTTTTATTGAATTAAAAATGTGAAGGAGTGCAATGTTTTTGAGATGGTACATATGAATTAGTATATTTTCTTTTATTTATTTTTTCAATATGCATGCATTATGAGAATATATTCAGTTATAAAAACCAAGTTTGAAATGAACATGTAATTAAAAAAATCACCCAGTGTGGTCAAGTTGTGTCATTAATAATGATGCGGGGATAACCTGATATACTATATATTTACACAGATTTCAGGTAATTGTATTTTTAGCAACATTCCAGTATTTTTACAGTGCTTGCTTGATTGGCTATTTTGTGATTTATTCTGTTATAAAATTTCCACAGCCTATTGGCATTTAAAAAGTGTATGTAGTTTTGAAAGAATCAAAAGTAATATGTCAGGAAGCATATACACAAAGGGTAACCTTGGGAAATGGCATTTAAAAAGTTAAACACTTTTAGCTTGGTTTTACATTTTAAAACTTTACATGTTGTTAAATTTAAGAGAGGGTCTCCATGGCTAAGTGGTTATGGTTACTGACTTTGAATCACTTGCCCTTCACCACTCTTGGTTCAAATCCCACCATGGAATTGAGATTCTTTTGTGTGAAACAGCACATGGGTATAAGTTTTCAGGCATTTGCCAAAAGTTCAGATTTTTTCTACTCGTGAAAGCTTCTTAGTCTATATAAAACCTTTTGAATGCTGAAAATTTTCAGATTTTTTTAACACGCACCCATGTATCTAGCAAGCTTATTGCTAAGGTCAACAGCTAAGTCCAGTGGATGCTCTCCCGTCAAATAATGATTGGAGGGACTGATTTTCTTTAGTAAGTGAAGCTGGGATATCATCGTATGATCTTTATAGTGTCATTGTGATGAGTTATAAGTAGCACAGAATGGTTATGGTTTGTTAGAGCTTAGATATTATTTTATAACGGGTTAAGTTAGAGGGATCATTATATTTTGTATTTCACAGAAGTTTTTATCTTAGCAACTATCACAATCTGTTTTTATGTGGTGTATAATTATATGTATGAAATGGTGCTTTATTGTGAAGTGTTTTTCTCATCATGTTAATAATACATACATGTATTTTGAAAAAAAAGGTTTAAATAAAGGTCATAAATCAAAATGCATACTAATGAATAGACGGGACTTACCATAGTTTCACTGAAAAGGATTATGGAAAGTGCATCATGGCCTTTGCACCTTAACTTTGGCTCTGGCAAAAGCAGTTTTTTCTCCATTGTAAGAAGTATTTAATTCCTCATTTTCAAAGGATAAAGAAACTAGAGACATGCAAAATAGCGTCATAACATCTTATACAATGATAAAACTCATCATAATGTATTGAATGTATCAGATTTTGTAAGTATTATGATAATTATGTGTTCTGTACATGTATATTGTTGGTAAACAAATGTGCTTTCATTCATATTATAGTATAAATGTAATGTTTGTTGGTTGTAAATAAAAACAAAGACTGGGATTCTGTTACTGCTTTTGTGTTTGTTTCTTTTAGCTCGCCTTAGCTCAAAGTGCTCAAATGAACTTTTATAATGGCAAGCTGTGCTTCCTCTGTAGTTGTCCACAACTTCTTTAAACAACATATCCTAAATAACTTTGATGATTTGTGATTCTTAGGTGGCCCTCTACAAAGGGTTTATAAAGGTTTCAAGCCTGATGCTTAAGTAGGTCAGAGGAGCTAGAAATAGACTTCAAAAATCAAATGTTCATAAATTTTCTCCATATACATGTAAACTACTATGTCCAGAGTTTGTGGTCCTCTACAAAAGTTATATAAATCATGCCCCAGAAGTCAAATTTGGTCCTGTCCCAGGCATCACTGAGTTTAGATAGTTTTCTTCCCTGAAACAACAAAGCCCTGACCGAGATTTTGGGCATGCACCATTGCCTATTGGACCTGTACAAAAGTTAAATAGGTCATGCCACAGTGGTCAAAAATGTCTCTGCAATAGGGGACACTTGGTTTACATAAGAGTTTTTTTATTAAAACGTCTTGAAAACCTCAGAACTTAGATATTTGGCATGTTGATTTATCTTGTGGTCCTCTGCTTTGAGGTTTTTAACTAAAGTAGCATAATTCATGCCCCTGAGGTATAAAAAAAATAAATCATTCTTGGAGGGTCACTTCATTGTAACAGACTTGCATATAGTAAAACTAACAAAAGTCTTCTTTTGTGTAATAAAACTATGAAGAGCTTTGCTATTTTGCAGACAGACATGATCTATTGTGACCCAATTACTGAATTTTGATGTATCTCAGGTGAGCAATCCAGGGCCACCATGGTCCTCTTGTTTGACTTTTTGGCAGCTCATTACACCTTGACTTTATTTAGATTTACCACCTATATGTAACATGTAATCCTAGTGCTGTGTCATTATCAATTATTGGCAATATTGCTGCATTAATAGAACACTGAAATTACCTGTAAGTGGTTGAATCATTTTAAAGATATGTCTTGTTGTTTAAATCCCCCCCACCCCCAATTAAACTGAGGCTACAGGAGCTAGTTTTTACCCTTGGGTCAATATGGTGGCGCGATAGCTCAGTTGGTTAAACCACTGACTATCACTCCTGAGGTACCGGGTTCGATCCTGGGTTACACCCTTGGGATTTTTCAGAGACACTTTCAGTGTTTCCCACCTACCTAGAGGTGTACTGGTAAGAAATCCAGGTAATCCTCGCATGTATCAGTGCTATACACTGGGCATGTAAAAGAACCAAGGGGTCTATTCAATAAGAGCTAGGGACTGGTTCCCGGATTCCCTTGTATCTTAAAGCTGTTTCTTAAATGTATACAATGTATACCTGCTTAGAGTGATCGAAAACGATTTTAAAGCAGTATGATGTAGAAAAAAAAAATGTTAGCCCCACCCCTGGGGTCACTTAGTTGATATAATCTTGTATGAGAATACACTTTTCAGTCTTATTTTGTGAAACTACATCAGCTAAGATATTCAGCATGTAGCATTACCTTGTGAATGTTTGTAAAATTGATATTAATCATGCTCCTGTGGTCTAAAATTGCCCCGCCCCGGAGTCACTTTTATATAGGATAACACATTTGTCTTATTGTGTGAAACTACAAAGTCCAGAGCTTAAATATTTGGCATGTAGCTTCAATTTGTAGATTTCTATAAGTTGTATTAATCATGACCCTCATGTCAAAATTGGCTCTGCCCCAAGAGTCTCTTGCTTTAATTAGACTAAGGTAGAGAAAAACACATCTTTATATGGATAAATACTATGCCTCTATATTTGGCATAATTATGCAGCATTGCCTAGAAGACCTCTATATCATGCACTTAAGGTCAAAAATGCTCATATAGTATTATGAGGATAATGAAGATAAAATAATTTTCAAGTTTCTTGATTGGGTCTCTACCCTAATTGAACAATTATTTTTACTCAAAAAAAAAATTATGTTCAGGCATATATATTGCCCCGCTTTTGCGGTGCTCTTGTTTTATTTTACCATGGAGGCATGTAGTCTTTATTGTGCGGGTGTCGGTAGTTTACTCTTTGGATCACATCAGGAAGATCAAACTCAGGTCCCCAGATTCACAGCATTGTTCCTACTGTGTTAACAAGGCGGTGTCTATCCGAGCCAGCTCTAAATATGTACCACAGCTGCAGCTATACAACATATAACTGAGGTAAACTTGTTCAGTCTTAGGCGAACATTTTAATTGTCTTATTTCCATTTTTCATAATATAGTCAAGGAATGTACATGTCTGAGTTAGTGCATTCGATTTGTTGCACAAAATAACCTTACCCCCAACGGTAAAGTTGTAATTTAAAAACTTCTTCTGGCCTATGGTTTGATCTTTTACTTTAGGCCCATGGTTTGGTCTCATTTCACAATTCCATTATTTTAGACCAATGGTTCGGTTAAGATTCACAATTTTATAACTTGGGCTAATGGTCTAGTCTCAACAATTTCACTACTTAAGGCTCATTTCACAATTCCTTTCTTTCAGGCAAATGGTTTGGTTTCAATTCATAATTTCAATACTTCAGACCAATGGTTTGGTCTCAGTTCATAATATTATTACTTAAAGCCAATGGTTTGGTTTCCATTCATGATACCATTACTTCAGGCCAATGGTTTGGTCTCAATTCATGATTTCATTTCTTCAGGCCAATGGTTTGGTCTCAATTCATTATTTCATTACTTCAGGCCAATGGTTTGGTCTCAATTCATAATTTCATTACTTTAAGCCAATGGTTTGGTCTCAATTCATAATTTCATTACTTCAGGCCAATGGTTTGGTCTCAATTCATGATTTCATTTCTTCAGGCCAATGGTTTGGTCTCAATTCATGATTTCATTACTTCAGGCCAATGGTTTGGTCTCAATTCATAATTTCATTACTTTAAGCCAATGGTTTGGTCTCAATTCATAATTTCATTACTTCAGACCAATGGTTTGGTCTCAATTCATATTTCATTACTTTAAGCCAATGGTTTGGTCTCAATTCATAATTTCATTACTTCAGGCCAATAGTTTGGTCTCAGTTCATAATTAAATTACTTCTGGCCAATGGTTTGGTCTCAATTAATAATTTCATTACTTCAAGCCAATGGTTTGGTCTCAATTCATAATTTCATTACTTCAGGCCAATGGTTTGGTCTCAATTCATAATTTCATTACTTTAAGCCAATGGTTTGGTCTCTATTCATAATTTCATTACTTCAAGCCAATGGTTTGGTTTCAATTCATAAATTCATTACTTCAGGCAAATGGTTTGGTCTCAGTTAACAATTTCCTTATTTGAGGCCAATGGTTTGGTCTCAATTCACTAGATCAATGGTTTGGTCTGAATTCAGTTATGATTTTGAACCAATGGTTTGCAGTTGACAAACATTTTAACAATATAGAATACAAACATCTCTCCCATAACACCATGTAAACTTTATTACTTAACACCATGATAAACTTTTTTATAATCCAACAATTATTGTACAGATTTTTTTTATAAATAATAAATACATGCAGTAACATGATAATATTTTAACAACTCCAACACCAACAAGATAATATCAATGTTCAGGCATCACATTTCGGCTTGTCTACAATACTCATTTTACGTATTGTAGTAACAACAAATGCTGGACAAAATCTCTCTCAAACAAAATCAGTCACTTGATTAAAATTCCATGGAAATAATTGCATTTTTATACTCTATATAAATTTATCAACTATCATTTCTGATATATAACATTTGACCCCATTTGAAACGGGTAACATATCTTTAATATTTGACATTCAAGGTGTGACTTTCCTTTACTGTGATATTTGACCTTCAAGATGTGATCTTCCCAAATCTTTTGACATTCGACTTTCAGGATATGACCTTTCTTTTTGTCATTTGACTTTCAAGATGTGATCTTTCTGTTGTTTTTTTTGTTTGTTGTTTTTTAATCTTTGGCTTTTGTGATCATGAATTAAAGAAATAGACAATATTGTATGTCAAACATTAACTATCATTAACTATTGATAGTTAAGATAAGGGTAAACATTTTGCTGAGAGAGATTTTGTTCAGATTCCAGTAACAACACATTTCCCCTGAAAGACTTTCTTTTTCAACAGAACTGTTGAAACAATACTTTCAAATTTTTATCATAATTAATCATTTATCATCAAAGTATAATACATGCAGGTTACTGAAATAACTTGTTCACAGCTTAGGTTACATTACATATGATAATTTCTCTTGTTTGATTTTGATGATATATCATACATTTTACTTGATGTTCATCCGTAGAAAATTATAATTTTGTTGTCTTATTAACTAACAAAAAGTATGAAATATAGTCAAATCTGAGTAGACCATCTCTGTTTAAAAAGTGCAGTTAAGTTATAAAACATGTCTCAAAAGGCTTGAAAAAGAATTTTAATATCGACTTGTCCATAAACCAAAAATCCTGTTAAAAATATTTGTTATCTTACAAACTATTCTATATAGGTAAACAAGTGAGACTTTTGTTACGTTTATATATATAAGGTAAAAATTAAGGTTACCGGTAATGAAAATTTTTCATTGTTATCATTTTCCTTAAACTAGCTCATCAATTAATTGAATTCTAATTTTGATTTTGAATAAACATAAAACATAAAATAACAAACTTTTTCATACAGAAAAGAAAACTGATCAAAATAATTGTGATCAAGTTATTTCAATTACAGCTAGGAAACAGATCTCTGTATCCCAGATTACAGTAAGTTTTAGGGGGCCAAAAAAATATATAGAGGATATTCAAGTTTTTTCTATAAATACATGATTTATTTTCATCGAGTGGTATGAAAATAAATATTTCATGAGTGGCGGTAGCCACGAGTGAAATATGGTAATTTTCATGCCACAAGATGAAAATACATCATGTATTTATGGAAAAAACTTGAATTTTCTGTTTATTATATACATTTTTCTCATTTTTGACATTAAAATTTGAAAGACT